TCCACCAATGTACATAAAACCGGGAAGACACTAGCTAGCATTAAACAAAAACAAATTGGAAAAGTGACAAGCGCTGAAAGAGGCACATTAATAACAATGTGCAAAGTAACAATTAAAAACTATTATAACTTCAATCTATCCTGCAAGGAAAAATATTTGGAAAGCGAGGTTCAGGAAGAAGAACATCTTGGTTGAAGAATCTCAAAATCTGGTTCAATACATCTGTGCAGCTTTTCCGCGCTGCTGCAGATAAGATCAAGATTGCCATACTGATCGCCAACATTCGTAACGGATAGGCACATCAAGAAGAAGAGGAAAAATAACCGATGTGATGAATAGATTTTAAATCATCCTGCCATACCTATAAATATTTATGATGTTTGTAGTGTTGTTGGTATCGCCTACCCTAAAGCATTCACTCTTGTCAACATTGTTAATTTATTTAAAAAAACAGGCATAGCACTCCTGAATTCCCAAATTTTTTCAGAGAGTGATTTTATGTTATCTTATGTCACTGATTCTTCTTAGGGTGCCTGTCCGTTCCGAACGTTGGCGATCATTCTGGCTATATTGATTTTATTGGTTGCTATACGAAATAGCTGTGTTAAGGTCTTTCTATACCATGTTCTCAGGTTAGGAAGCCAGGATATTCTTCTTCGTCCTGAGGCTCTTTTTCCTTCAATTTTACCCTGCAAAATGCGTTGGAGTAGCTCGTATCTGTCTTGATTTCTCATGTCACTAATAGGCCCGAAAAAAATGAAAATGGAAATAGTAACGAAGATAAGGCTACCGAAGTTGTTCACGATGTGGAAGATGTTCGAGATGTAGATGTTCAGGTTATAGAAAACAATCAGGATGTAGAAGAACCACAACATATCAGCCCAATTAATGGCCCATCCAATATAATAACCCCTTAGCAAATTAGGCCACATGTCAAACCTGCTATTAGGAAAACCTTACGAAAAGCAGAAAGAAGCTACAGTCAGCAATAGTAACAGATACTCCCATAAAAGATGCCATAGAGGAACAGCATTATGAAAGTTTGGCTAAAAAACACTTTCAGACGAGGAAAAACAAAAGGCTAAAAAAAGTTAAACGTCAAGTTTTTAATCACGACATTAGTTCGAACAGTGATGTTACTAAAGAGATTTGCAATTTCGCAAGTCTAGCGATTTAAAAAGTTTCACATCAGGACTATGTCATAGTAAGATACATAATAAAAAATCTGTTAAACATTATGTTAGTCAGGTTATTAAGTGAAGATGAATAAAATATCTTTTTCATGAAGTGAATTCTGGTCGCCAAATTTGTTTTCCCCAAAAAACGCGATGCAGATACCGTGGGAGCAGATTATATTTAACTAATGCTGTGCCCTCTTGCCATTAGTGGAAGTACAGCTAGGGTTGCTCGCCAGTTTATGATTCCTGTGAATTTTTTCCAATTTAAAATAGAGTTAAAGTGTTTTGAGACTATTGAGAATAATAGAAATATGAAATTATTGATAAAAAGACTAAGAACGGGGACAAGGCAGATAATAAAGATTAAAGATGGAAATGGTCATCTTATAATCAACAGAGAGGAAACCCTTAGAATAGTTGAAGAAGCAAATAGTTAAGAAGATGAAGTACCAGAAATATTAACAAGGAAAAAGTACATTGTGAACCAAGGATCAGAACTACTACCGGAAATTACAATAAACGAAATAAAAATGTACCTTTAACATGTGCCTTTTAGACAGTAATATACCCAACAAATGGCACAATGCTGACATAATTCTATTGTACAAAAAAGGAGATCCCATGAATTAGACAACTACAGACGTCTAAGTCTTCTTTGTCACCTGTACAAACTCTACAAGAATAGTAACGAATTGTCTTGAGAAAAACTTTCTACCAGACAATAGAGCAAGCAGGATTTCGTACCAGATTTGAAACAAATGATCACCTACAGAGCATTAAAACGGTAATAGAAAAGATTGTCGAATGTAATGGAACACTCATTCTGACTTTTATAGATTTCAATAAAGCCTTTGACACGGTAGAATTTGACAAAATCCTGGAAAGCCTGCTATATAGTTCTGCAAATAAGGTAATACTCAAATTCCTGCAGAATATAAAATAGTAGATAGTAAAATAGTAGTCAATTAGGCAATATGATTTATCAAACTTTAGTGTGTATAGTGGGTATGTGAAGAATTTTACCATTTATGAAATTAATTTTCCTCTTTTTGAAGAACTTCTATAATAATTATTTTATTATAAATTTGAAATATTCTTTGAAACTGATGGAATATTTTAAATCTTGCAACAGCAGCATTTTTCACTAAATCTATTGCGCACGGACCTAGGAGTGGATTCAAAATTGGAACCATGAAAATACAAGAGTGAACCTACTGATTCTTTTTAAAGCAATATACTTTACTGTAATTGCCCTTACTATAATTTACTAACACTTAATCAAGGTACTATAAACTTAAAAAAAAAGTCACACTATGGACCAGTTTACCCTATTCGATATGTACCTGAAACCAAATTTTAGTATATTTTGTAAAAATTTCATTTATTATAACAGGATTACAAAAGATATTCCAGTTTCCGTACATACAAATATTTACGGTTTGATAGAACAAGATTTGTTCTATTAAACCGTAAATATTTAATAACGTAGTATTTTAATACTACTTTACTGCACGACATACATAAGTAGAATAAATAAAGATAAAATTTACATACAACATATCACATAAGATTATTACACAGAACTTAGTGCACAATGTTTTTATTTTAAACCGGTAAGGCGTCAAAATTTGTAGAAACTGTTGGAAAACTAAAAAATACATGTAGATAGCTCTAATTATATAATAATTATATCAATTAAACGTCAATGGTAATTACTCAGATGGTTATACATATACATTTAATATTTTCATAATTTCATATTTAAGTTGCATCTTCATATTATTGTACCATTTTTAAATAAAACAAGTGGTTCTTAATTTATATAAATATATTTATGTATAAGTTTACAGCTTATACAGCTTTACTTCGAAAGTAGAGGCCTTCGAAATGTGGGCTTACCGACGTATATTACGTATATCCTGGACTGAGCACCTGACCAACGAAGAGGTACTACGCCGGATAGGTAAAGAGAGAGAGGTAGGAATAAGTATACCTAAAGAAAAGAAAGTTGGAATACTTGGGTCACGTTATGAGACATAATAAATATAGAGTACTACAGCTGATCGTTCAAGGGAAAATAGACAGCAGAAGGGGTCCAGGGAGGAGAAGAAACTCGTGGCTCCAAAACTTGCGGCAATAGTTCGGATTGTCATCTGCTGAACTATTCAGATCTGCCGTAAACAAATAATTTGAGATGTTTCATCGAATCTTTTATCATTCTTTCTAGAAGTTTCTTGAATCATTTGAGACGTTTCATCGAATCTTTTGGAAACATTCTCGAATTTTTCATCCATTATTCTAGTTAAAACGGCTTCTTCTGCTGATTGAAATTGGAATGTCTTCGGGTCATCTCCATTTTTGTTAAGAACAGTCTTCAGTTGTTCTTTTGGAGTATCTTCTTGGACCCGCTGCAGTCTTCATCGCGTTCTTCTAGTTGCCCACGCAACTGTCTTACTGAAAGTTCTACTAGCAGCATATTTGGTAAGGTAAACAAATACTTTTTTAAATGTTCTTTCGTACAAAGATCACTACCAAACTACGCCGATGTTCCGGACGAACAATACTGTTCAAAAGTTCAAAAATCTTTTTCAAAAGTCCCTGCTGAATTTATTTTTTAAATAAATCATTTATCCTAATACCGGACACCAAATGTACCGTTTTTAAATACAACGAGCGGTTTTTAATTTATATAAATATATTTATTTATAAGTTTACAATACGGTAGTATCTTAACAACTAAACTCAAGTCGTAACAGCGTTACATATATATAAAAGTTGTTATGTACTAGAATTATCTGGAGTAGTCCACCTCTAATTCGCCTGTTTGGCGGGTCGATGCCACCCGTACTCGATACATCGTTGGAAGCTTCTAGTTCTAGTCGCTTTCGAGATGCAATCGTTACATAGGCCACGCCGAATGCATGTTCGTAACATTATTATAGATACGTATACATGCTGTAATAGGTATTTAAAATATTGGTAAAGGTAATATTGTTTATGGTACTTGGGACGTACGGATCGTTTCTGGATTATTACGATACTTGTACCACCTAAAGCGGGTCCATTGTATGAATCCTTAACGTCAGGACTGGATCATAAGTTTTCCAGTTTCCCGACGTATTAGAAGACTCAGCCGAGCTGCCGTTTGTTTACCTATTACTGGTTTACCTATGACTGAGGTGTTGACCTAGAATCAGGTCTAGGCCACAGTATATTGCTAAAGAATTCTTTATAAAACAATATACTGCATCTAGGCCCTCAACCCCCCTTTTTCTTTAGGTACCGTCTATAATGGAGGATGACTTGTGCAAATTCATCTCTATCCTGTGCTTTTCTTATTAGGCTTTGGAGGTCTAGTCCTATCTTGATGTTCTTGTCGTCTGCCAGAAATACGCTTTCCTTCTATTTTCCCTTCCATTATTAGTTGAAGGAAGTTATACCTCTCGTGTTTGAATATATCCAAGATAAGATGTTTTCTGTTTTCTAATAAGTTCTACAAGTTCACGATCTCTATTTATAGGTCTATAGACTTTTGGTACTAGTGTAATAAGCCGGAACGATGTTTACGGAGATGAAATTTATATCAATGAATTCTGCTTCACTTACTAATGATTGTGCAATGATTTTTATCCGGTACAAAACGTTATTTTTTATGTAATTTAAAGTTTGAAAAATAACATCTATGCCTAAAATAATTATTCGCTATATTTTATTTTTATTTAAAAACAAGGTTTGAAATAAAGACTAAATCGGCAGATTTACGGATAAATCTATATAAACGGCAGCACTGTTTCAAACTTTTAGAAGCTAGCTCTCGCTCCTTTGGTGCTCGTGCTCCAAAAATAACATTGTCAAGTGTCAGAACTGTCACTGTCATTAGTGTCAGAAATAATTGTGTCAATTTTGTGAACGCTTTTCATATACAAATATTTTTAAGCAATATTAATACCATCCAACAAATCGTATTTTAATATTAGTAGATGATGATTAAATATTAACAATGGCTCAAAACAACACTGGTGGAACTTCTTCCAGGCGACAGCATACAAGAGATCATGATGCAGCTTCTATTACATCTTCTAGAATTGCAGATATCTCCGAGTGGGAAGCTAATGAGGTAATTTTTATATAATAAAGAAAATATGCCAATTATATCTATATTTTGTTACCTGTAAAAGAAGTTTTACTTTGAATATTATTGGCTAATATGCAGTCAAATATCAAATCATTTCACATCAAAAATATATCTTAGAATGATCATTTCTCTCTTATTATGAAGGGAAATATAACAATGCATTTTCTGGGTTTTATTCAACTTCTTGTTTTAAACCTTATCCAGGATTTATGTTAAAAACCTTATGGATTGCTCTCAATGTACATGTACACAAATTTGAACTGATGTTAAATGTTGATGGTAAATTTTATACTTAAAATTGTTGATTCTTATTGAATCTTTTTCATAAAAATAAATAAATATGGAATAACACATTAGAGGAATTTGTTAAATTGTGTGAATTTTCAATGATAAAAAACAATTGAATTTATTTTTATTTTATTTATTTACGGGATGTCCCCATTTTTACAAAATTTATTTTTATTTATTTATTTATATATGGCATCCATTTACTTACAATTTTTAAAAAGTTACACCTTAACAACAATAAATTATTAAAATATAGCGAATAAATATTCGCTAAAAAATTTAACAAAAATAAAATATGTTTACCATAATACAAGTACATACTAAAACTAAGTATTAAATAATGATTAAATAATTATTGTTAAACAAATTATTAAATTAAGTAAATTAAATTAAATCTTCTGAAGATCTTAATAAAATGAAATGATCTTAATAAAATAAAATGAAATGATCTTAATAAAATAAAATGAAAACGAGTACTACAAGTTAAATGTCACTCATTTTTGATTCCTAATATACTCAGTCAAACAGTGCTTAAATCTTACAGATTTTATATCCACCAGATCATGAGATTGGCGAAAGTAATTTCCTAGGATTTAAATCCTGTTAATAGGAGAGAATTTACCATAGTTAGTGTGATAGTGTTTTATAGAAAACAAAGGTATGTCTCTAAGAATGCTAGTGTTACATCTAAAGTTAATAAGACTTAATAAATCAGAACAGTCAGTGGTATGGTCAAGTAGTTTACAGAAATATCATTAATAAACAAATTAAAGAGAAGAGGACCCACAGGTGAACCTTGTGGAACTCCTAAACTGACCAAGATAGGAATTGAAAGTGAACCCTTTATAAAAACAAACTGAATTCTTTCATCAAAATAACTACTTAACCATGAAAGAAACCACGTAGGAAATCCAATACATCTTAATTTAAAGATGAGTAAATAATAGATTACTGTGTCAAAGGCCTTCGAGAAATCAGTATAGATGGAGTCCACTTGGTACCCATCCTCGAAAGCCGTGATAATGTAATCATGATACAAAACAAGATTTGTAGATGTAGATTTACCCTGCCTAAATCCATGTTGCTCATTAATCAAGAGATTCCTACAATGCCAAGTAAGATATTTGTTTTGAATTAGTTCAAAAAGTTTAGGGATGGCAGATATCAACAACAGGTCTATATTTTTTATATTGTCTGTGTCACCGTTTTTAAATACAGGAGTTATATAACTGTCACGCCACTTACTAGGGAAGATGTGTAGTCTCAAAGATAAATTAAATAAGACATGCAAAGGTTTGGATAGAATGTAGACACATCTTTTTAAGAAATATGTAGGAATATTATCAGGGCCATAACTCAGTTTATCCTTTAGACCATTTATAGACTTCATAAAGTGAAAATTAGATAAATGGAATGTCAACCGAATTTTTTACTTTAAAATTAAATTAAATTAACTTTGAGCGATAGACACTAGAGAAATGGCTCCAAACACTTCAAAATTGTTTTGAAGTGAATAGATTCCTCAATGTTGGAGATATAAGATCTGCAGCATTGATTTGTTAATGTTTTGCATTGTGTTTTAAGATCTGAAAATAAGGTATAATCAGCTGCTAAGTATGTTTGAATCTAGCATGAACAGTTTTTTTAAATCTGAAAAGAACTAGCGAGGAAATTTTGAAGGTTTATGTTTTTTTCGGAACAAAGAGTGATATTGCTTCGAAAGAACTTCATAGAAATTATTTACTGAGATATTAATATTTGAATCATCAAAAACAATATTCTAGTCAACTGAAGAAAAATAATTATGTAGACCTACAAAATTTGCATTAAGATAGTCAAAATATGTAGTATTATAACCTAATTGTTAAACATTACCATTAAAACTAAGATCATAAGTAATTGCCACATGATGAAAGATATTGGGAAGCAAAGTGTCCACTGCCTCATACACTGACAGTTTCTGATAGTCTTCAATACTGTGAAAAATGAGATCCAAAAATACTCCACATTGATTTGGTATAATATTTGATTGCCTTAGGTTCAGGTAAGAGAAGCATTCGCATATCAGCTTTGCTAGATAGTTTTGTGGGCAACGAGTAAGCCCAAGAAACTAGTGGTAAATTGTAGTCACCAAATAAATATACAGGAATTGCATGAAGATAGAAAGAAAATAGACAAAGTATAATAAATAATATTTTCTGTCCAACACAAGATGAAAATAATAAAATATGATGCATGAAAAAGATGCAAAACTACCGTGGAAAAATACCTTAATATATTATTAACCAAAGAGTTTGATAGAAAACTAATAAAATCCATTGAGAAAATAACAGCAAGTATTGATGTAATAATTCCAAATAGTGATAAGTTATGAACATGACAAAATTTTGAATATTTTGTAGGTTTTAGTTGCCTTGTACAATGCTTTTAGAAAAAGTATGATCTATAATTATCAAATTATTTCTATTCTAGTTAAAATAGTCATATCAAATGAGTACTTATTAGAGTTTGTAGATAATAAACTCTATATTCAAATATTGGCATATCTATTCATTGCTCTGGCCTATCTATACTGACCTACGGATGTGAATCTTGGACTCTGAGACAATCGGAGAGAAGAAAGATGGATGCCACTGAAATGTTCTATTGGAGACGAATGTTACGAATTCCTTGGACTGACCGTAGAACAAATAATTCAATTTTAAGAGAGCTAAAAGTTAGCCAACGACTCTCTAGTAAAATCCATCTCCAACAATTAAAATATTTTGGGCATGTTATGAGAGCAAACACAGAAAACATGGAAAGACTCGTAATACAAGGAAAGGTAGAAGGCCGAAGATCACAAGGAAGATCCAAAACAAGATGGATAGATCAAATTACAGGAATATGCCAAAGACCTATGCATGAATTAAAAGAAATGACCAGAGACAGAGATCTCTGGAGACGGACAATACACGACATTACGTCGACCACTACACTCCCCCTGGGGGGTCAGGATTGAAGAGACAGATTCATTGCTTATATTACGCCCCCTGACTTTCTTGGCTGACTTAGTCAAATTTTTCTGTTACTATCTGCTTTATTTCTCAAGATATACTTGCCGACCAAGGCTGTTGAGACATCCTTCCTATATAAGCAACTTACTGAATTTTAAAACTTCTATTCACTTATAATTTTCATAAAATGCTTTTCTGTGCTTTGTTTATATTGTCCAAATCTATTTCATTCTTTAAAATTTCCTGGGAAGTTCAAATTCCAGAAATTTCATAGTATATATACATCTTTTTAACAAAATAAATTACTTTTATCTAATGTTGAATTTTTTTTACAGGCTCTGCGCCAGAGGGAGCTTGAAGAAGCAAAAGGACGGGCTGCACAAATGGAAAAAACCATGAGATGGTGGTCAGATTGTACTGCAAACTGGAGAGAAAAGTGGAGTAAAGTAAGGAATGAACGCAATAAGGCAAGGGAAGAATGTAAACAAATGCGCTCAAAACTTGATACTGTTCTTAAAGAAACAAATAACTACAAAAGAGATAAAGAAGAATTAGAATTACAAAATGATCAGCTTAAAAAAGAAATAGAAAAAATTCATATATTGCTATTAAAACATGCAGGTCAATTTGATTCGCAAATTCTAGAAGCTCTAAGTGACGATCCTCTTAAAGATTTTGTGTTCAGTACAAACTCACCAGTGAAAGAAAGAGAAAATGGTGTAACTTCTTCACAATCCAATCCTGAATGTGACAGTACTATTGAGCAAAATGTTGATAGTTCTACGTTTGAAGAATATGTTTTACAAGGAGCTCTACCTCGATTTAAAGATGCTGATAAAAAGACTAGTTCTGTGGATGAAGATGTTGCTAATGGCTTGGAGAAACTTTCAAATGATTTTGAAGAAGAATATATTTTACAAAAGTTGTCCATGCTACAATTAAGGTTAGAAGAAGCTACAAAAACCTTACAAGCTGAAAGAGAGTAAGTAACCATAGTATGTATATAAATTTGCATGTATTATGTATGTAAATATAGTACTTAAGAAAATAACGGGATGGGGCACTCTGGGAGTGACTGAGGAGGGGAGAATAGCTTTCTTATTGTCTATGCACAGAGTGATAATTTTTAATTTAATTTAATCTATTTTATTTTTTTTATTTAAATTATTTTAATTTTATTTTAATGTATTTTATGTTATTATATTTGATTTTATTTTATTGTATTTTATTTTAATTATAAATAGAAAAATCGAAAGAGTTGAAAGATTGTGTCTTTTTAGAAATAAATTTAATCGGGTAATTAAAACAATAGTTTGATAAGGCTTATATTAACCTCTTTGTTGCTGTTAATTATAGTTTACTTGGAAGTAACAATTTTTGATATAGGATGTTATAATGAAATAGTAGGGAATTAGAAGAATGCTTTTAAGTTTGTATAGGAGTCCATTGTGCCATACTCTATCAAATGCCATTTTTACATCTAAAAATGCAGCTTGAATTATTTCTTTCTCAGTAACAGTGAAGATTTTTTATTATTATTCTAAGGTTGGTTATGTTATAAAATGTTTCACATGAAATCATAACTGGAACATAGATATTTCTGTATCTAGGTTAACCTCCTTCTTTAATCTTTGAAGCAGTGGTCTTTCGAATATTTTAAATGTTATTGGATATTCTGTCTCTTAGTGATTCCAAACATAACTCTTTCCATGGCTCTCTGGGCTACTTTTAAATTTTCTGCTGTCTTTTTTGTTAATGTTAATATCTCTGCTTCCTGGTCATTACCAGTAATATGCATTGTTGATATAAATTTCGCTTTAGATGTACTAATATATCTTTTAATCTTTTTTAGCGAAAAATCACAGCTTCATCGCAGCATTGATCGACTTAATGCTGAGCTTCAAGAAACAAAAGACAGATGTGATGAAATGAAAGAATCAAGACAAGATACAATGCGTGAAATTTTGTTACTTCAAGATCAACATCAAAAGGAGTTACAATTAATCAAGGCTGATTTACAGGATGAAGCTAATTCGAGGGAAGGAATGGATAAAAGACTAAATGACCTAAGAGCTGAGGTAAACAAGTCTAACAATGTGTAGTTTATTTTTTTTAATTGTGGATATCACATATATATTTTATATGTAGAGTGCAACAAATTTAAGTTTGGGAATGTGATGTAGTGTTTAGAGTTGGGCGGACTGTTTTTACCAGTGGCGGGCGGAAAGAGGTCGATTTAACATAATTTTTCATAAGTATATTCAATTAAAGTGAGAAATGAATTTGTTAATTTTTATTTTCATAGTTTTTAATCATTATGAAGTTTATAGTCAGGTTGCTCTCGATAAAATAATCAGTAAAATATTAGGATTACTTTAATACATATTAAATTCCTCAATATTTACAATTTATTAACATTAACATCAAGGAAGGGTTTCAATAATACAAAAAAAAATAAGTAAGTAGTTTATTTTAACTAAATAAATAATATATTGCTTTATCTAAATAAGAATGCTTTAGTTGATGATTCTAAGATCTCTATTCCTGAATTTGAATCACTATCTTCATCGTCAGAAAGGCTTTCTTTGGATGAGCAAATATTAATAACAAATTGTAAGTGGTCCAGCATAGTCTAATATATGTTCTTTTTGGATTTGAATTTTGAATTTTTGACATGGTTACATATATACTTCTAGTAACACTTCTGAAATTTTGGTTTTGCTGTATTTTTAACATCATTTGTATTAAAGGTTGTATAATGACTTGCTACTCTACCTTTCAACAAAGCCAATATTTTTTTGATGGGGTTTAACTCTGGATGATAGGGGGCAAGTGAAGTACTTTATGTTCATATTGTTCAAACTCATAATCTAATACATACACTGGTGGACATTGTGGTTTATTGGCTTGCATAATTTTATATAACTCTTTTATATTTAGGTTTACTTAGTGTTGTAAACTACTTTACCATAATATATCTACAGCTAGCAGATATCACATTTTTTTTTCATTAGTAAATTAAGATAGAATGCTCAGCTAACTTATGACCCATAGTAACTTTTCACACGGCATAGAATAAATTATATTGGATTTTTCTAATTTTAGTAATGGTGTTTTTATCTTACTATGTACTTGACCAATTGCTACTAAGTTACTCTGAGCTATTTTTATATTTTCATTTTTAAATAAATTCATAGGTTTGGGAGTAAATTCCTCAATATACTTAAGTGACGAAAAGATATCTATATCCTGTTTGGCGTTATTAGATTCAATATTATTCAGTCAATTTTCATTATGATTTAAAAGTGTAGCATTTCCACTGTCAGCAGTATTATTCGATGGGAAAATAAGTTTATTAATTAAGTGCCAAGGATAAGAATTTTCTTATAAAATGGTTTTAAGTCTTAATAAAATAATCAAGATGACATGAGACATAATTATTGAACCTATTAAGTACTACACATTGGTTTTCTGTACCACTCTGTGATTAAGATGTTATTTTCAGTTCTAATAATTTTCATCTCAAGAAACGGAACAGAGTTTTTCATTTCTTGCTCCACTGTGAATTTCAAACGCTCATGGTAACGTATTAAAAGTGTTTAACATATCACTTATTTTGTCTTTTGGAACAGCATTAATTATGTCATCAAAATATCTCTTGGGTAAAGGTACTTGAAAATTGAGTTGTCCTAGATCATTTTGAATTAGGTCATTCAGAACATAACTGGATACAATATGAGATTTGCTACTTCTCATGGGAATATCAAATTTTTGAATGTAGAATTGGCCATCAAAAACAAAAAATGTAGATTTTTTCTATATCAACCTAACATGATCATTTTCACCACTATCTAACAAATGCTATGCACGATGTCCCTATGTCCCATTGCCAGCGGGTTTCCATTCTGTGATATTTATTGTGTTTAGATCATTGTTCATTTTGTACAAGTGACCTAGCCAACAGATTCTATGAGATTTAACAAAATATTCAATATTAGAGTGATTGATTGGTTTGTTAAGGTCATACTGTAGATATTCTGTTCTCCATTAGGTTTAAACATTGTTCTTAGCAATTTTCTTTCATGACATCTAAGATCATCTTCGTATTTCTTCGGAAAAATATATGGTTTACAACCATAGGCCTCATAGTCTCAGAACTCATGGTTCTGATCCGATAAAAGAAGTATTAGCTCCTTCTTTAGCAATACTAGCAGCAATCTTATTCCCCCTTTTCTGCAAAGTTACTTTGTTGTGGCCTGCCAGTTGCTAATAGGACTGTTTGCAATTCCATGCTGTCACTGACTCCTAAGTTGTAGACTTAAGAGCCATCTGTGCAGCTTATGGTTTAACATCTGTTTGTATTGATGGCTTTGGTTAGGACCAATAAGGCCTTTGTTGAATTTATGAATTAATTGTCATAACCATCTTTCAACTTAAACATAATAAATTTATTAGTGTTCGTTAGTAAGTTAGTTTTACTTGAACCGTTTGTCACTGAACCAATCACATTTGATCAACAAGTGTTTATATGTAAACAAATTAAGTCCAAACTCTTGTCTACATTAACTAAATATGTAAAATTGTAAAACTGAATATAAAATTTATTTTATAGTTCAATCTGATTTACATTTCTCACTGTTTTAGTTGGAAAGATTGCAAGCTGAGAATGCAGCTGAATGGGGTAAAAGAGAAAGACTCGAAACTGAAAAGCTAGCCATTGAAAGAGATAACAAAAAGTTACGAAGTGAATTGAGAGATATGCAGGAAAGGATGGAAAGAAGAGGTCGGCCTGTTACAAATTCCGACGCCGAAATTAGACATCTCCAACAAGAACTAGCCGATAAGAATAAGGTATGCAAAAATTTGATCGTTTTTAACTTTTATTCAATCCAACGTAAATATTGTAAATATTTACATATTTACTGCTTGTACAATTGGTTTATTACTTCCTATCAAATACAGCCTAGATTGACTCTTCATAACAATACAACGGTATTTATAAAGCAACTGAATAATATTCAACAACATTCAGGTAAACAAACAATAGGTCATTCCCCAAATTCGATGTGCAGTGCTACAAAAGGAATTGTAGATTATTTGTGCATATCACCAGTCTTCAAGGTTATATGCTTCACGACATAATTGCAAATGGACATCGACGCGCTATCCACGCATATATGACGGTGCGAGAGGGAGTGCAAGTGAGAGTGCCCGAGATAGTGCGAGGAAGTGGCGTGAAGGTGGCTGCGAGAGAGGGAGTGAGAGGGTGGGTGCGATCGAGAGTGAGTGAGGGTGATGCAAGAGGGAGTTGGAGCAGATATAGTGATTGAGTAGAGGAATAGAGTGAGGTACTAGAGGGATAGAGTGAGGGAGTATTGAGATAGAGAGCGGGAGTAGAGGGATATATTGAGGAAGCAGTGATTCAGAGTGAGGGACTGAGAGAGTAGAGAGAGAGAGAGAGAGAGAGAGAGAGAGAGATTAGGGGAATAAAGTGAGTGAGTAGGGGGATGGTGTGAGGGAATAGAGAGAGATGGTCTAGCAAGAGATAGAGTGAGAGAGTAGAGAGAGATGGAAGAGATATGTAATATTCACAACAAAACAGGCCTTTTCCGGCAATATTTAGTGGATGACAGGTTTTTTAAATTCTATTTGCCTAGAATTAAAAACTCATAGGTGTCCACTGAAATGTATTTGATCGCTCAATACTTAGGGAATGTGCTAATCAGTACATTAAAAACTCTTAATGTATATAGTATGTTTTGTATAGGAAATAACAGAACTGAAACATTCCCAAAACAAACTGAAGAAAATGGTTCAAGACAAGATGACCGAACTGGCCCATGCTGTACGGAGAGCTGAGCAATATGAGACTGAGGTTAAGAAACTTAGAACACGAGTTGAAGAACTGAAACGAGATTTAGCAGTGGCGGAAGATGAATTAGACACAGCCGGAAACAACATTAGAAAACTCCAAAGGACTAACGACGAGTTGCAGGAACAAGTTGATAATTTTCAGTTGCAATTACAGCACCTCCATACCAGGTCAGTATTAAAACAATATTTTAAAATAAGGTTGTGGAGGTATATTTCATTAAAATAGTTTATTTATGTGGAGAAAGATATTTACGAGTTACTAATCAGCAATATCTTTAGTTATTCAGGTAATACTACAATATTACTACTGATATTCTACTTGTTTTACTCGAAGTAATACTAATACTTTAGGTAAAACAGATAAATTCGAAAGTAAGAGGTATACAGTTTTTTTATATAGTCATCCTATTATATAATTTGCAACTGTTCGCGAAAAATTCAGTATTCGTAGATCTCCAATGTCGCGAAAGAGTTTTTAACGCATTTTAACAAATTAATTTCACTTAAAAGTTTATTTTTAATGTATTAAAATAGTGTAATTAAGTATTATCAGTACCCACCTGTATACCTACGCAACATACAAATACCACGATCCACATGCACGAAATATTTACGAATTCGTCTAGACAGAAGAACACTAAAGAAACAAAAGAAAGAACAAATAACCAAAAAACGCAAACAAATTCTATAGCGGGATAAGATGGTAAAATCTGCACTCAGCTGGATTCTTATTTGGGATTTGGCACTCGAAAGTACATATTTAGAAACCCCTTTAGCCAACTTTTTTGCTTCCTAGGTTGCACCAGAGATCCCCTATCGTAAAAAATGTATTTTTTTCAAAACAATTTTCCTGGGCGTTCCTTTGCTTTAAAAATCTGAAAAACATTATGAATATACATTTTAATGTCCAAAAACACTGATTTTTTCCAAATTGTTTGGATCAAAATTAAGCCCTGCGAAAAATATTTGAATTTTTCAAAAAAGATTTTAGGTACAGTTGCGGTCACGGAATAGTTTACAGGTTCACGTATCTAGAAGTCCATTTTTTAAAATTTTACTTCGTTTAAACGCACCTTTTACGTCAAAGTGACGTTGCCAGTGGTGTACTAGCTAGAATAGGTAGATTAAAATTAAAATATCAAAATATTTTACAAAATGAAAAATATAGAAAACAGTTTTTTGAATAAAATGGATTATGATCTTAATAACGAAAATAAAGAAGTCTTTTTTTTAATATGCATTTTATTTTAAATCGATTTTATATTAAATAACGATAAACAATGATAAATAATAATTAATATTTGGTGGAAGCCCCATTCTTGTCAATACAATTTTGCAGTCTTCTGTTCATAGATAGCACCAATCCCCTCATGTTATAGTTAACAAGCTCTTCCCATGCCTGCTCAATTGCTTCCCATAATTCAATTCTATTCCGTGATCTAAGGTTTCTTTCATTTAGTTTCTTTGTTAACTCTGCCCACACATTTTCGACGGGGTTAAAGTCTGCACTACGGGAAGGCCACGGAAGAACATTAACATCAGTTTCTTCTAGCCATTCTCGAACAATTCTACTCGTATGCACCGGGCAATTGTCATGTTGGAAGATAAAGTCGTTGTTGGGGAATCTCTGGATCACCGATGGCAACATTGTGTGCTCAATAATATGTTTGTAATATAATCCTGTTAACTTCTCCTCTACATGATAACAAACGACCGGGCCTTCGGCACTTATCCATCCCCATACGTTGACAGAGAATCCTCCAGTATTTCTTAAATGATGCGTATACTGTTCATCATACCTATGATTTCTCGGCCTATAAACTCTTATTCGACCATTATTATACGACCGAAATACTTTTTCATCGGAAAATACAACCCTAGACCAAAAATTCTCATCGCGGTTTATAAATTCATTACAAAATTCAACTCGTCTCCTCTTGTGATCCTCAGTCAAAAAAGGTTTCCGTGCAGCTACACAATTTAGCAGTCCACTTGCTTTAATTCTTCGACGTGCAGTGCGAATACTGCCTGGAAACGCTGCCTCTTCTCTTGCCTTTTGAGCTGTGGCAAAAGGAGATTCTCTCAAATAATCTACTAACATCTCATCCTGTTGATCTGTGGAAATCTTCTGCCCTCCTGAACCGCCCAACCGTGCTATAGAGTGAAAATTATCCCATCTTTGTTTAATCTTCCATATGCACATATGACTCACGTTCAAATCAGCAGCAACTTGCCTTAGTGACCAACCTTCTTCGAGTTTGACAATTGCTCTTGCTTTTTGCGCATAATTCAAATGTATTCTAACCATTTTGGAAGAGTTTAATATACTTTTATTTTATTGTTGAACACTCGCGAAAGCATTGACGTTTTGAAATTTTTTGACTTTGACATTTATCAAATCCGTACGACACTGCAATTTTACAGTATTACAATATAAAAAGTAAGGTGTAAACTATTCCGTGACCGCAACTGTACCTAATGATAGGTAATTTTTGGCAAACTTCTAAATAATTTTTCTTGGTGTATTTTTTTTTTGAATGACGTGATTATATTTGCCATTTTCTCTTCTAAACATCCTCAGAATTTAAAAAAGACTCATTTTTTGGTGTTTCTTTAGGTGTTTAGTTCATAATCAACTGCATGTCAATAAATTGATATATTTTTGTGTTATTTCTAATAGCTGGATTACTTTAGCCATTTTCAGACCAGAACATGCTCAAAATATGACAAACTTCATCTTTTGTTTTTTTTTCTCATGTTTCATTGTTTTTCAACTGAATATGCTGAAAAAATATTTTTCATCTATTTTTTTTTCCATTTTTCTAATAGGATGTTGGCCATAGTTTCTAATGTTGGCCATTTTTAGACTGGAACATACTTTAAATACAAAAAACTGCATTTTTATTACTACTAATATCAAAATGGTTAAATATAATGAATTATGACGCAGACAACTGCTTTCAAAAGTAAAAGACAAGACCTCATATCTTTATAAAACCAATCTATAAGTTGCCTTGTTCGGATTGTCAGAGTTGTTATCTTGGTCAAACTTCACAATGTGACAAACAGATAATATCACAACACAAAAGTGACTATACAAAAAAGACAAATACGTGTGCGACAGTTGGGCATCTCGTGACTACTCAAATATTAGGGTTTTAAAGCAAGAAAGCACGAAAGTAATCATAAAAAATAATAGCCATATTATTTCCAAATAATAACAGACCACATACCTGATGGTTCATTACGGAGATGTTGATGAAGAAGTACGACAGAGTTAGAAAACATAAATGAATGGGTGACAAAACGGAAAAAGGAGTGGAATGAACCCATTAGTTGAATGACAGAAGATAGGATAGTACTTCTTCTTCTTTCAGTGCCTATTCGTTCCGAATATTGGCAATCATTCTGGCTATAATTATTTTATTGACTAATGCTTTAAATAGATTCGTTGTTGTTGTGGAGAACCATTTCCTCAGGTTCTTCAACCATGATATTCTCCTTCTCCCAATTCCTCGCTTTCCGAATACTTTACCCTGTAGGATTACCTTCAGTAATCTGTATTTAGTGCTGTTTCTCATTATATGTCCGAGATATTCCAACTTTCTCCTTTTAATGGTATACATCACCTCTCTTTCTTTGCCCACTCTTCGTAATACGGTCTCGTTGGTTATCTTGTCTGTCCATGATATCCTTAGAATTCGCCTGTATAGCCACATCTCGAAGGCTTCAAGTTTTTTCTCCATTGCTTCAGTTAGTGTCCAGGATTCAACTCCGTAATACAATATTGAGAAGATATAACATCGTAGGAGCCTTACTTTTATCTCCAGATTAAGATTGTGGCTTTTAAAGAGTTTGGCCATGTTATTGAATGCACCCCTAGCCTTCTCTATTCTACATTTTATTTCCTGTGAGTGATCCCATTGTTCATTTACCGTTGTTCCAAGATAGTTATACTGTTTTACTCGGTCCACTGGTGTATTATTGATAAGTAGTTGAGCGTCTCTAACTTTATTTTTGCTAATGATCATAAATTTAGTTTTTGTTATATTTACTTGAAGTCCAAATCTTTCACTTACTTCATTTACTTTGTTTATTAGTTGCTGTAAACTGTTCAAACTGTCTGCAAAAATAACGGTGTCGTCTGCATAACGGATGTTGTTTAGGCGTTCTCCATTTAGAAGTATTCCATGTTCGCATTTTTCCAAGGCTTCACTAAATATTTCCTCTGAATATAGATTAAATAATATAGGTGAAAGTATACAACCTTGTCTAACTCCTCGTAGAATCTGGATCATTTCCGTTGGATAGAATAGTACGAATAGCACTAAATAATAGCACGAGGCTAATATTAAAGATCTTTTAATATTAGCCTCGTGCTAATCATTATCATCAATATTAAATCATCTTTCCTGTCCTGCTGTATGGAGTAGAAGCGTGGACCCTAACTGAGGCTATGCTTAAACGCTTGACAGCCTTTGAGATGTGGGTATACAGACGACTACTGAAAATAAGCTGGGTCGACAGAGTTAGAAATGAGGAGGTCCTTAGACGGCTGAACCAAACAACACAACTGGTCAATATAATAAAGAAACGCAAGCTGGAATACTTCGGTCATATTATGAGACACCCTGAAAAATATGATCTTTTACATCTGATCATTCAGGGAAAGATCCAAGGTAATCGTGGTCCTGGTAGAAGAAGAACATCATGGCTGAAAAATCTAAGGCAATGGTATGGAAAATCAACTACATCGTTATTTAGAGCTGCTGTCAATAAAGTCACGATAGCGAATATGATAGCCAACATGATATCCAACGATCGATAACGGTCATGGAACTAGAAGAAGAAGAATATTAAAGAAGAAACAGGCTTTAAAGCCTACATACAAGAAAGAAGAAGAAGAAGAAGTAAGAAAAGTTACTAGATCATATTTGTCATCCCTATCATGCTAATAAATCATAAGATTAGTTGATGTTGGGTTATGCATATCCAAATAAAAAAATTAATTTAAAATAATTATTATATATAGTCCCAAGATTCCTAAGAGGAACATAGGGCTTCCACAAAGTGTCTCCAGCGAACTCTATTTCTGGCTAGTGCTTTGATTTCAAGCCAGGATTTTCCCATTTTTATCCCTTTGTCCAGTACTGTCCTTCTCCAAGTTTCCTTAGGTCTGCCTACTTTCCGTCGGCCTTGGGGATTCCAATCCAGCGCTGTCCTGGCAATGTCATTTGGCGGTCTACTTAGTGTGTGGCCCAGCCATCTCCATTTTCTTTGGAGATTCGGTTAGGCCAAAATATACGAAGGATTTTTCGTAACGCTCTATTGATGAAAACTTGTAATTGGTGTACTATGGGTGCTGATATCTTCCACGTTTCGCAGCCATACAGTAATACAGCTTTTACATTTGTGTTGAATATTTTTAATTTCGTTTTAGTTGGGTAAATCCTGGATTTCCATATATTGTTAAGCATGTTGTAGGCGTTATTATTCTTATATATTATTTATTCTTTCATGTACTTCACGCTCTGTACCCCCATTACAATCAATTATGCTGCCCAGATATACAAATTCCGCTACTCTCTCAATTTTCTGGTCGTTGATCATAACAGGTTGGTTGTTTCTGGTACCAAATCGCACATCTTTGGTTTTGTTTATGTTTATTTCTAGACCAACCTTCTTTGATTCTTCTTGTACTTTGTTTACTTGGAGTTGCATGTCCTGTTTTGTATGTGCTAAGAGACATATATCATCAGCGTAATCTAGGTCTTCCAGTCTGTTTGTTAATCCCCAGTAAATTCCTCTATTAGAGTTTACCTTTGTTAGTACGGAGTCCAGTACAATGTTAAATAGTATGGGGGATAAAACAGCTCTGCTTTACTCCGTTTAGCATAGTTATTGGGTCAGATGTTATGCCGTTGTGTAAAATAATTATTAATTTTATGATATTGCTGGATAGTAACTTGAAACATTGTTACCCTAAAAGATTTAGTAGTTTATAGAAATAATTTGCTTAAAAGTAGTTCCCTAATTTAATGTAGTAAACTTTATTCACTAATATTTTCTGAATTTCTGCTGCTTTTATTGGTAGTTTGGAAAAAGAAGACGGTGGTGAGGAAATGGCTCAATTTGATGAAAATGATTGTGTAAGTATGACAGTTTGTATATATTGGGTTTGTGTGTTGATGTTAATAATTTAATTTTTTTAATTAAAACGGATTTTTTAACCATAAGGTTTCTTTGGCTAACTTCATGTTGTCTCCGATATGCGCCAACAAAAAGTGTTGCGTTTAAATCAAATGGTATATTTTCACGTTACTTCACGCTTTATTTAAGCTTAGAGACAACATGAAATTACTAATCAATAGCATAAACATGTTTTTACAGTTGAACAAATACTATCACTTTCGAATGTTAATTATGCAGTATTCTAATAGGAAAAGAGCAGTTTGTTAAAGATTTTCATCTATCTAAGTGAGAGCGCCCACCAAAGTGGCGTGGCAGTGGCAAGTAGCAAGTAGCACGCATCTAGCATAATGTAACCAATGAAAACGAATGATTCAGTTTACACCAAAATGACAGTAACGTCATTCATTCTAATCATTCGTTAGGATTGGTTACATTATGCTAGACGCGTGCTACTTGCTACTTGCCACTGCCACGCCACTTTGGTGGGCGCTCTCCCTAACAATCCAAAAAGTAACTTTTAAATGTCAGAAGCATTTGAGTCGAGTTGATGACCCAATGGGCCAGCAGACATAAACGTAGTCGAGGCGGTAACAATTGTGTGTGAAGGAGTCGTACAGTGAAATTTGGGGGCTGGCGGTTCCTTAAACTCCCTAAAGAGAAATGCGTTAACATCTTTAATGCAGTGTTTTCTCTAATTACGTTCTATTCTCTTCTTACGTTAGTTATTTCCGATCTTTGAAAAATCGGGTCACGCTAACACTGGGGCTGATGTAATTCATCTTTGGACAGAAATTATATCCACGACGTATCTGTCGTGGCACCGGTTACTGGGTCTGTCAGTCGTGGCTGGATAAAACGGCATTTTACTTTTACTCGGGCGTCAATTTGTGACGATTACGAAGTTTGACGCAAGTTTAATCTAAATAAAGATATATTCAAATAAATAACAAAATTTAAGTTAACTTCTTTAGAAAATGTACGATAAAGTAAAATTACGAATCCTAGTAAGTAAATTCGACGGAGTTGCAGTCCGCCGTTGATATCTGCGAAAAATAAGTATTGGCGATACTTGGATGGGTGATGCAAAGGACGATAAATGGTCAATACCTAAAATTGGAGAAGAATAATCAATATTTAGTCTAGGTTAGAGGTGGTCGATCGATCACTACTCGATACGGACAAAAAACGGTAGCGACGTATAAATATTCAATCGCAGACGGGCAACCGAAAGGTGAGTGGCTTTTGATTAATACTCAAAGACTAGGAGCTCTTACCACATCAGTACTCCGGATCGAACTCCTCTCGTTGTCGGTATAAAACGGCGTTTTATATCTTTGTAGGTGTTCGGGTGAGAGCGGACATGCAGAGATATGGCCAACCTGCGGCAAGGACAACTGTGGTGGCATTCTATCCGTCAAACATATACTCGCAGACTGTTCTTATTTTTGTAATTACAGAAAAGGAATCGCCATGATTTCCAAATAATTATCAATGATTTCTATGAAACCTTTAACAAAAAATGTGGAAGAAGAAATGTAGTTTAAACTTGTAGATAACTATTAATTGTATCGAGATTGCATTGTAATTGACTTAATTATTGTAGTGAAATCGTACCTGTGTCAGTGACCTACGCTGTCCAGATATGTAAATTAAAAAAAAAGTATTTGTTTTATTTTCCCTATATTCGAGTCAATGCGTCGAAATGTTAATATTTTCAGTATGGATTTCCAAGTCATGCCGAGCATATTATAAAGAATATTTTTTGTATGATTTAAGATAAACTTTTCTCTTTTCTCCATTTATAAGAATCTTTTTGGGACACACACTATATATATATATATATATATATATATATATATATATATATATATATATATATCTATCTATCTATATATATATATATATATATATATATATATATATATATATCTATCTATATATATATATATATATATATATATATATATATATATATATATCTATCTATATATATATATATATATATATATATATATATATATTATATATATATATATATATATATATATATATATTATATATATATATATATATATATTATATATATATATATATATATATATATATATTATATATATATATATATATACTATATATATATATATATATATATATATATATATATATATATATATATATGTGTGTGTGTGTGTGTGTGTGTGTGTGTGTGTGTGTGTGTGTGTGGAATCTTCTGAATTCTGTCGATTACCTGACTAGGAGAAACACTTTCATAGGTAGTGAATCGCCCTCTTCAATCACTTGCGCGATTCAATTCCAAATTGAAGTGCTGGACCCATTGATTCTAAGAGGTTCCTATAGTATTAATCATGCTTGACTCAATTACATAACAGTTTTGAATTGATTTGCGACATCATTCAATCAAATAATGGACTGTTGAGGACCTCCTCAATTTATTCAACAAAATAACATCTCACTTAACTATAAACTTAAGTTATAATTAAATAGTATCTGTACGTATTATTTTGTATGATTATTATTATTATTTATAATATTTTTGGTGTCTAGTTGCATGGCTATAATCTTTCATATGCGAAGTAGAGGATGGTATTTTGGGAACTTATCAAGCTTAGGCTTTTGTCGTGCTGACTTTTTATGCATGAAATATACAGGTAAGTTGGTTATGTTATGTATCATAGCTTCAAACGAATGCTATTATCACTTTTAAATATAGAAACGGAAGTTACTTAGTAGATTAAGGCTTTGGTTTGTTTGATAGTAACACGTAATATAATTTTATGTGTTGATATTGTAAAAATTGAATTGAACGAATGTAATAATTGTAAAAATATCTTTAAAAGTGATCGTAATGTTTAGTGTGAATGCTATAATACTGGGAATGCTTCCAAGATTAAGAGATAATATCTATAAACTAAAAGCTAATACATTGTACAACAAGCATCAAAGCTACCTATTTTAAATCCAAGATATATGCATGTTTGTATTGAAAATACATAGCCCGTGCTTGTTGTACACTAAATTGCCCAATTAGAAAATATAATTCCAGAATTATAAAAAAAATCGTATTCTACTGATTAACATGGTCAAATCTGTTTTTTTACTGTTACCACCGAAGTTTCTTTCCAAAATAATGCTTTGGCAAAAATATTGAGTGCCTAACTAAATTATTTAATAAAATATACCAGGACGGTCAAATTCCCGAAGAATGGTTAAAATCTATCTTTTACCCTTACCGAAGAAGGGTGAAATAATCATAAATCTTGCGAAGAATACCGATTAATTAACCTCATAAACCACACATTAAAAATACTACTTAAGTTATTGAACTGTATATAAAAATTGTAAAGAACAATTAGACAACACACAGTTTGGATTTAGAGGCCGAATGGAAACAAGAGAGGCATTGTACCCAATGATGAAACTATTAAAAAAATGCAGGTAATCAGAGCTATTCTGTAACTTTTAACAAATCGAATAGAAATGACCAAGTGGAATCGTAACTACCTGAAATCGGAATGTTGGATATCTATCGTGTCTTTTTTGTCTGTCGTATTATTTTACCACCAACTTCCAATATACTTGGTATCGGTTCTTTAGAGTCCCTCTTTCATTTTAACTACCTCATATTTAGTGCCATACAGGTATCAGGTCTCTGTATTCTTAAACTTCTTTCCTGACGTTTTTCCAAGGGTTTCAATGGCAGTATCTCTAATGATATTAGCCACCTTCCTCCAAATTGTATTAGGAGTTCTTTTCATGTCCCAACACAATGTTTCTACTATTTTTGCCCTGAATAGTACTATATGTTTTTATCTTTTAACATCCACCCCTTAATGTTTTGTGGTCGCCTTGGGGATATTTATTCCGTTATTTATTTCTTCACTTATAATTATATTAAATAGTAATGACACCTTGTCTAATACAACTGTATATTTTACCTATGTTAAGTTATAACTGGAATTACCAACCAAGATCTCAAAATAATTAAAAATCTTTACTAGAATTAGACAGAAAATCTCAGAGTTGAAGGTGAATACACTATGTGAAAATCATGCGTGGAGTGAGGCAAAGCTGTATTTTGTCTCCTCTAATCTTCAATCTTTACTCTGAAAGAATATTTATCGAAGCTTTGCACGAAACTGAAAAAGTAATTCTACTAAATGGTTACCGGCTAAACAACATAAGATATGCAGATGACATCGTAGTATTTGCGGACAACTTAGAAGACCTACAAGTTGTTATGAACAAAATTACGTATTACAGTCAAGAATATGGACTCATTATAAACGGTAAGAAGACAAAGCTTATGATAATTAGCAAAAAAAGGATAGGAAAAGAACCAATCTCCTGTAGAAATAATGACGCACTACAACTACCTTGGCACCATAATAAATGAAGAATGGACCAAAAACCAGGAGATTAGAGCACGCATCGGAAGAGCTAGATCCACCTTCAATCGGACCTTGAACGAAGGTATGTGCAGAAAACTGGAAGCATTTGAGATGTGCTTATATTGGAGAATGCTTAAGATCCCGTGGACTGACCAAGTCACAAATGAGGAGGTCCTCAGAAGAATGAATAAGAACCGAGAGGTACTGACCACCATCAAATCTCGATAGTTACAGTTCTTCGGATAAATTATGCGGAGTAAATTCAGATATGCTTTCCTTTAAGCATATCTGGATTCAAGAATACAATATCTGTGCAGCTTTTCCGCGCGGCTGCAAAAAAGATAAAGATTGCCATGATGATCACCAACATTCGTAATGGATGGGCACATCAAGAAGAAGAAGAAGTTTTAACTGTTAATTGTGATTTCTCTATAAATGACTTTTTAATAATTTACAGCAAAATTTCTCCTTCGCTCTGTGATTCGATAACATACAAAATAATGTAGCAAATGCTTTTCGTAAGTCTACCAACCACAGGAATGCTGGTCTATCACATTCTATAGATTCTTCTAATATTTGTCACAAATAAATATAGAGTATTTACTTGGTTTTCCAGATGTGCCTTTTTCACACCTCCATATTTTATCAGTTCGTTGGTATATCATAATATATATCGGTTTTAGAACGTCTTTTGACGTTGTCCGATGCCTAACTTCCCCGTCCTTCTATCGTCCCATTAGCCATCTCTAAGATCTTGTGTCTTCCATTCTTTGAACATGACCATACCAAATTAACTGTTTCCTCTCAGTGATTAGCATTCTGTAATTCACATCGTAATCGGTGTAAATCAAAAACGTCAACTTCTACTTGACGCGCTCAGAAGTTGGTGGCAACCCCGCACTGAAAAGTAAAATAACTGTTCTGTGACGTTATGTTACTGAAAACTCTTGTGCGCGCGAAAAATTCATCATAAAAGAAGATTATATTTCAAGCTTGTCGTCAAGTAGTTTTGATTTGTTTTGGTTAAGTTTAAAAAGTTCGTTATAAGAAGAGCAGTTAAATTATTTAGTAAAGTTTATCTAATAAATAACACCGCAGACTAAAAAATGAAGCAGCTACAAAAATGAATCAACTGTTAATTTATATCAAGTCAAAAAATAAATGTCAAAACAATAATGATACCGATGCGCAAGCGTCAAGACCAATTTCGATGTCGAAACTTGATCTCGACAGAGCTTGTCTAGTCGAAATAAATTTCTACACAACATTCCGATAGAAGAGGTCGAAATGAGTTACAGAATACCGATTCCTACAATTCCGATCCGACTTGCTGACCTCTATTCGATTTGACTCATTTCTATTCGATTTGTAGTTACAGAATAGGGCTGAATATAATGAAAACGTCTTCATGTTTTCAAAAACTGTTTCATCATGGTAAACTCATACATGCACTGAAATACATACGCCTAGGTCCCAAGGATATTAAAATAATTAAAAATCTTTATTACAATCAAACAGTGGTCGTACGGGTGGAAGACAGTGACACAGAACAAATAGAAATTCAAATAGGATTCAGACAGGGATGTGTGCTGTTGCCACAATTATTTAATGTGTGATAGATATAATACACATGGCATTTATGTGGAACTTCATTTTTTTAAACCATTTTTCGTAGAGTATCAGTTTATTGTTGTCTTACTTTATTCCAGTTATATTTTTATAGCCTTTGCAACAATGTTTTTAGTAGTTATCGTTTGTTTGGTATACATACTTTATATTTTTCGACTTTCATCCACATCACTCCCACCCTGTTTCTTGATCAACCACAGTCTTTTAACCAAGTTTATTGGTTAACTGCTAAGTAGCAAATATAGCAGGAAATTTTTATTCATTCACGACGTACAATATTATATGAGTATTGCACAAACTATATATTTTTTAATAAATAAATTTGTTTTTTTCTGTAATATTTTTTATTGTGTAGGTTACGTAACTGCAGTTCCTCGAGTTTGTTAGCTCATCGAGGGACAAATCTAGAGGAAGGTAGCGACGACGAGACTAATGAATTTATGTAGAAAATTGTATTGTTTTTAAAAATCCAGTAACTACTTCACTTAATAGGAAGAAAACAATAAAACCACGTGTATATGTTAAATTATTTATTATTTTTCTACTTGTACAAATCTGAAACCTAATTATCTTTGTATATTTGAAAATATATAATTTATTTCTTAAACGTTTTTCTTTTCATAAATTATGATAGTTTATAACTACTGGAATCAAATGAACTAAAACTGTTGAGGTGAAGTCGTATAAAACATTTTAAATTTACAATTAAAAAAAATAATGGTCATTTATTGGGATAAAAAGTATTCAGTTTCAAGTTTTACCAACAAATACACTTACACAAAATACTATTGCAATCGGTACGGTTGGATAGACAATAAAATTACCTTTCCAACGATGTAACCCAATCTAAAATCGGGTATCCGTACGATTTACAGTACATAAAATAAACATAAAAAATCACCAATTTGAACACCATGGTTTCATGGTGTTCAAAACAAAACTTTTACCATGGTTAAATAGACAATTAAAAGACCTTTCCAATGATGTATAACAATATACACATAGAGTTACATGTACCGATATACAGGTCATCAAATGTGAGTAAAAATTTTTTTACCCTGATCGCATTTAAAAATGTGTAAATCGTTTTTTTTTTTGGAAAATCTGTAAAATTTTACTGCGGTTGGATAGACAATAAAATTACCTTTCCAACGATGTAACCCAATCTAAAATCGGGTATCCGTACGACTTACAGTACATAAAAGAAACATAAAAAATCACCAATTTGAAAACCGATTGCTTTAGAGAAATGTTTAAGGGAAAACAAAACTTTTACCATGGTTGAATAGACAATTAAAAGACCTTTCCAATGATGTATAACAATATACACATAGAGTTACATGTACCGATATACAGTTCATCAAATGTGAGTAAAAATTTTTTTACCTTGATGGCGTTTAAACCCGTAGTGGTTTTTGAATATTTGCTTGGAAAGACCCCCTTGCCTCCCCCATTATTGAATCGACATGAACCAACATAACGAACATCCATTTTTTTATTTTCCTTACCCATCTGTATATTATAGTTCTGTTAGTGCCTTCGTATCACGATAGACCCACGTAAACGGATGACTTTGACTATCAAACAAAAAACCAAAATTCTCAAGTTGATACAGCAAGGATACAGTTTCATTTAAAAACAGTTCGATATTGGCAAATCTACCGTTACGAACATTACAAAAAAACAAAGAAAAGATCGAAAAGTTCGTCAGCGTAACAGAAAGCGGTCCAGGAAAAAGGAAAACCATCAAACCCCCCGAATATCCGAAGGTAGAAAGTGCGTTGTTCATGTGGTTCCTACAACAGCGGAGAAAGAATTGCATTCCTGTAATTGGTGAAATGTTGTTTTGAAAAAGTTCGTCATTTCCATCGTGAAATGTCACGAAATCACCAAGCTTTTAGCGCATGTAAGGGTTGGTTGTTTGGACAACTTCAAACGACGTCATGGGGTTGGATATCTCAAAATTGCTGGTGAGAAACATTCAAGTAATGTCTACGGAAGGAATAGAGAGTGGAACAAGGCAAATACAATTCTAATATATATAAGAAAGGAAATAGATCAAAATTAGCTAACTATAGACCAATATCTCTCTTGTCACAAATCTATAAAACTTTCACTAAGGTGATCACAACTAGACTAAAAAACATATAGACTCTTCACTAAGGTGATCACAACTAGACTAAACAACAATTTGATGCATACCAACCAGTTGAGCAGGCATGATGTAGAAAGGGGTACAGCACAACCGACCACCTTCACACTCTTAAAATATTGATAGAAAAGATCAACGAATACAACCTTCAAATATACCTAGCGTTTGTTGACTGAAAAAGCGTTTGACAGCATAGAATTATGGCAGTGGAAAAAGCGCTAGTTAATTGCCGAATAGATTCACGGTACAGAATGTTAATCCACAATATATATCACAACGCCACTATGAGAATTCAGCTAGACAGAGATTTGCAAACTCCATTAATTAGAATTGGTAGAGGTGCCAGACAAGGGAATACAATCTCACCCAAACTATTTACTTTTCCGTTGGAAGACATTTTTAAATCTATAGACTGGGACAATAAAGGGATTTGTATAAACGGGAAATATTTAAATCATCTAAGATTCGCCGATAATGTACTCCTGATAGCAACAACTATGGAACAACTACGAATAATGATTTCAGACCTAGAAAAAACATCTCTTGAGAAAGGACTAAAAATGAATCTAAAGAAAACTAAAATAATGATTAATATAGAAGACAGATCAGTAATTACCATAGGTGCAACAAACATAGAACACGTCCAAGAATATATTTACTTAGGACAAGTTATCAGATCAGACAAAAGTAACCAGACTAAAGAAATAACCATAAGAATAAGAATGGGGTGGGCGGCATTCGGAAAACTCTCATATATTATCAAAAACCAAAAAAAATACCTTTAAAATTTAGAACGAAGGTATTTAATGCATGCGTCCTACGTGTTCTGACATATGGTACCCAGACGTGGACGTGTACCATGAGCAACTTAGATAGAATAAAGAAAACTCAAAGAGCTATGGAAAGACAAATGTTGGGAATAATGTTGAGAGATAAAAAGAGGAACGAGTGGATAAGATGCAAAACCGAAACAACAGACGCTGTCGAACATGCATTGAAAATACAATGGAAATGGGCTGGGCATAACGAAAGATATCAGGATGGAAGATAGAATAAAGAAATTGGCCGCTGGAGACCATATACTGCAAAAAGGTCAAGAGGTCGACCGCAAATGAGATGGAAAGATGACATTGAGCAAAGCGCAGGTCCAATGTGGAAAAAACAAACAGAAGACAGAGACAAATGGGAGAGGCCTATATTCAACACATGATTTTGTGCTATCGATAGATAGAATGTCTACGGAATTGAAACCTTCCGAACGGCATTTGAAGAATTAAAAACAATTTGACACCTGAGCAAATTTACAATGCAGGAAAAAGTGGGTTATCTTGGTACATTTTACCAGACCACAAATTGGTGAAATCTCAAGAAAAGAACGCTCCTGGTAGAAAAATTATGAAAAACAGAATCACATTTATGCCTTGCGCAAATGCTTCAGGGACTCAAAAACTTCGTTTGCTTACTGTGGGGATGGCTAGCAAGCCTCATGCAACTTCAAATCCAATAGTTTTTTTACGTGAGTAGATAGTGTAATAGATAGATAGTAGATATTTTTAATGTAATCAACTTAATAATAAAAACACACCATTATTACTTTTCTGACTCAGTAAGACCAAGTACTGCAATGAGCAAGTACTTTTTTGGTACCATTTCGTTGTGAATGCGACATATGCACTACTTAAACCAGAAGCGATAATAGTTGTACCTTGTACCTAATAGCTAGAAGCTTACAATATTGTTTATATGTTTGGCGGATTTTTTATGATTTTTCACCTTTTCGCCCAGATGTTTCAAATCATGTACACCTTTTTTTGTCCAGTTAATGTCTCCACTAAATAACAAACAAATATAACGCATTTTTTCTTCATATCCGCACAACCATAACGTCTTGTCGTAGATACTTCGGTCAAACTTCAATTTTTATTTCCAGGTTACATTTGTCTTAAATTCAATACTGGCATAGGTCGTTAATTGTTTTCCATGTCCACCAATCTCAACGAACTAAAGTTTATTTTCACTAATTCCAACGTCCTTATTGTTATTTCTCAAGACTTCAACTTAACTTTATCAACATATAATTATGTAGTTAGTTTTATCTCGGGGCCTGCTTTCTGAACACCGTTTTAACACCGGAGCTCTGTGCCTGTAGAGTGTGCTCGAAAAGATCATAGGTAGAATTTGTCGTTTTTATAGTAATCGTATGCCTTTATCGTGCATTAGGAAGTCAGCCCCAAATATAGTGCTAAGCCGTAAAACAAATGTAATTAGTGTAAAATTTAGTTTGGTTAGGGAAATGTATTTTAATTTAATAAAACTTAACAAAGAGAACCAAACAGCAGAGATCAAGAGACGAGTTAGACTGGCATGGGCGGCATTTGGCAAACTAAGCTACATTCTTAAAAACAAAAGATATCCACAGCATCTTAAGACCAAAGTATATAATCAATGCGTACTCCCTGTTCTTACGTATGGCTCCCAAACGTGGACATTTACAAAAGCAAACATGGACAAAATCATAAAAACGCAAAGAGCAATGGAAAGACAAATGTTGCACATAAGACTAATGGATAAGAAGAGAAACGAGTGGATAAGAGAGAAAACAAAAGTGAGGGATGTTAGACAAGAAGTTGCAAAATTGAAATGGAGATTTGCCGGACACAATATAAGACAAAAAGAAGACCGATGGAACAAAATTCTTATAAGTTGGAGACCGTGGGAATATAAACGAAGCAGAGGAAGGCCCCAAATGAGATGGGCAGATGATATCAAGAAGCACGTGGGCTCTAGATGGATGACTGTTGCGACAGACAGAGAAGAATGGAAAAGGATTGGGGAGGCCTATGTCCAAAGATGGACCGAAGAAGGCTAATTAGATAGAAAGTTTCGACAGAAAAGTGAATGGAGCTTTAGCAGTAAAGTGTGAATACGAAAAATGAAAACACTATAAAATCGTAGTGTCTTACGGATTTTGCTAAATGTCAAAGTGTTTGTCAAAAATTGGGCACGTATTGAAAAATAAAATAAAAAGCTGTTAATTGCGTCCAAAATGACTAGAATGCATTTGAATCACGCGCAACAAATAAGAGCAATTGCCAAACTCGAAGAACAGCAAAAAGTTCTTTCTATAATTTCCATTTTGTAAAGTAGATTTATTTTATTTTGATTTTTTAATTTTAATCAACCTATTCTGTCCGGGTCGGCCACTGGTAACGTCACTTTGACGTAAAATTTGCGTTTAAGGCGGGTTGACACGATCCAAGAATGCTTGGATTCCAATTTGGACCAAGTGGACTGTACAAGTCGACTTGTACCAAGTTGGTTGTCACGGTTAAATGACTTGGATGTCAAATAGTCATTGTAAAGTTGAAAGATCACATCAAAAATCTTTTGATCAGAAAAAAGAAGTGAAAAAGATGTGTTTACTTCTCGTTTTCGACTTTTCGATATCGACGCCTTTTTAATTTTATAATACCACACTACTTGGATATAAGGAAGTTGGCCAGCATCCTACTTAACTTATATAGAACCTGTTGATACAAGTGTACTTGGATGAACAGGTGACATGATTAAAGTAGCTTCCAAGTATTGCACGCGCAACATGCAAGCAGACTTTAACCAAGTACACTTGGATCGTGTCAACCAGCCTTAACACAGAGTAAAAAATTCAAAAAATCCGTTTCTAGATATGTAAGGGTGTAAACTATTCAATGACCGTACCTGTACTTTATTTTTCATGGTAAGGGATGTCTTAAAGCAGAAGTCAAGTAAAAAAATGTAGACTTTTATTAGTTTAAGATATATAGGAACTTTTAACGCGACTAATCTTTATACAATACAAAATTATGAGCTACCGGAATATTGGATAATTCAGATAATTAATAAGCTGCTTCTGGTGTTGCTGTTGTTGTTGTAGTTGATCTGGTGCCACAATCAACGAGATATGGAGCTTCACAAAGATCTTTTTCATCATTAAAGTATGTTCCGGGAGCACAGAGGAACTCAACTGGATGTCCGTTATCACATTCATAAAATACTGCACAGTCCACTGAATCAGGAAGATATGTAGGAATAGTAGCAATAGTTGGACATGTTCCAATAGCTGCAAAGTATTAAATCGTTAAATAAAACTAAAACAAACTAAAAATGTATGTAAGGGGCATGGATGACGTTCACATACAGCGGAATGAAACGAACGGTTATTCATATTATGATTTTCGTAGTAAATCGGTCTGAGATTCATCCCGGATGAAGTTCGGACATGCTTGCTATTCGGCCCATTTACACAAAATAAAAATAATTGACAACAATCTTTGTGATATTTGCAAAGAAACGGCACATTTGGACCATATATTTTTTAATTGTAGGAAGTATACATATCAGTCTGACATCTTTAAAAAAAAATCTAAAATGTTTAAACATTACAGTCCCTACAATGCCATGAATCTTTTGGCACTAAATGATAAACGTGTTTTAGTTTTTATTTTATTATTCATATTTTAGTCTAAAAATAAATTAATATAAGGTTGAATGTTCGAATAATTAAACTTTGAGGGTATACAAGGCAACTATCGAACACGGTGATTAATTTAATCTTCTGAACTGTCTCCGGCTTCTATACAACATGCAGCTTCTCCTTAAAAGTTTAAAGTGTTTGTTTGTCTTTGTGTATTGTATTTTGTATTGTTATGTCCAAATTTTACATTTATGACATTCTACTCATGTCAGGATAGGCCACAATTGACGAAATGCCCCTGAAGATGATCTATTGATCGAAAGTACTTGGGCAAGATTAAATTAATCACCGTGTTCGATAGTTGCCTTGTATACCCTCAAAGTTTAAAAATAAATTGTAGAATAACTAGTTTAGGCTTGTAACCTTAAATGTCTTTCCTTTTGTTTAGATACCTACCTTTCTGTGGTCTACCCAGTATTTGTTTAAAAAAATGCTCAGAACGACCCCTGGGCGAGAAAAGTGTGACCTTTGTTCAAATCCAAAAATGCTTATTATGATTATTCTTCAAAAAAAAATTTAATGGAAAAAAATATTTGTTTTCATCAACACAAATTGGTCTGTCAAGCTGAAATAACCTAATAGGCTAGATTTAATGATTATTTAGTTTCTGGTTGCATGAATTAATTCTAATGCCAAAAAAAGTACATTAAGAAAAAATAGAGAAAATAAGTACTCGATTTATACAGATAGAAAGTAAGAATGTTTTCCAAGAAGTTCGAAATACCAGTGACGCAGCAGGAAAAAGACCTCTTTTTATAAATAGGAAAAATGAAAATGAAAAAGTTAAAGACGCTGTAAACAAACTAGCCAGAAACAAATCAAACGGAATAGATAATCTCCCAGCGGAATTATATAAAGAAAGTGGCCACGATATCATAATTATAAAAGAAATATGGATACAGAAGTCCCTTCCAAGTGATTGGAATATTGGAATACTTTGCACCATACACACAAAGGGAGATATCTTTGAATGCTCTAACTATCAAGGAATTACGCTCCTAAATGCAGCGTATAAATATTCTCCAATATACTATGCCATCGTATGGCACCGTATGCAGAGCGAATAATAGGACAATGCCAGGCTGGTTTCAGAGGTTGTAAATCAACAATTCATCAGATTTCAATCCTGAGACAAATTCTAGAGAAAACACTGGAATACGGTGTAGATACGCACCACATATTTATATACTACAAGGCAGCATACGACTCTGTAAATAGAAGAGAATTGTTTAGAGCAATGATAAACCTGGGAGTACCAAATCAGTTGGTAAGTCTAACCAAACTAACACTTGAAAAAGTTGAATGCAGAGTATGAATCCAGGGGGAACTCTCTGAACCTTTTAATACAACTAACGAGCTACGTTAGGGAGACCCACTCTCCTGTATACTATTCAATCTAGCTCTGGAAAAAGTAATACGTACGTCACAAATCACAACTACCGGTTCAATATATAACAAATCTGTGCAAATCCTAGCATATGCTGGTGATATCAATATTGTTGGTAGAACGGAAAACGCAGCACGAGAGGCGTATGTAGCACTAAAGGAAGCGGCTACAAAAATGGGTTTCATAATAAACATTAATAAAGCGAAATACATGAAAATAGGTCCTCAACCACAAATACGACGGCCACTTGTTATAGAAAACGACGTTATCGAAGCAATTAACGAATTTGTATACCTGGGAACGCTCGTCAATACTGAAAATGACACTACCGCAGAATTTTCACGCCTATAGTGTATTGTTATGTATGAGAGAGTAATAAAACAATAAATTATGTATGCAAATCCCTAAACTGTTGATACGGGTGACTCAATGAAAAACAGATATTTGTCAACAAGTTTACAGAAGTATATAGGAAAACAATTTTAAATTGAGTATGACCACCAGGTATAAAGGTTGGAGCAGAATAGAATACAATAGTTGTGAGGGTTACTAATAAGGTTGCCAGTGTCGGAGTGATGGAGGTTAACAGGTACTAATGAATTTGCAAGAAATGTAAGATGTTTATTTTATTGGTTATATATAACCAATAAAAGTTTAATACGTACCTACCTATTTGCAAAATAAAGTTTAATTATTTAGATAAAATAAAACGTTTTATTTTATCTGAAATGAGTGCATTCCACGAAGTAAGGGTTTCAACAATCAAACATTTAATTCTTTAATTCCAGGAATCTACGACAGTAATTGACTAGATAATTACCTTCTAAACTTATTCCACAGAAAATGTGATAGTGGGTTTTTCCATTTTGTAGGAAGGTCCAAGTGGCGTATTCAAAATTCTTAACAGTTCACTAAAAGTAGGTACTTCAGTTGCAAGGTGCAGTTTATTGTGTATACTAGTGTTATGGAGAATTTGGAAGTGCCGTGTAAACGCCGAAAACTTGGTCCTTTAACAGTTAATGAAAAAACATTAATATTTAATTGTTTTAAATCATTTACAGACAAACGTTTATGTGAAAGTGTTGATGAGACCGTTGAGTTAGTTAGCAGTACACTTGGTGTTGAGAAATCTACGATTTACAGAGTTATTAAAGAAGAGAAATGTGGTAGTTTTCAAATGCCACGTAATGCTCCAGGGAAACCAAAATTTCAAATAGAATATCATTTTAAAGAAGCACTTCGACGGAAAGTGCATGAATTCTTCTTTAGACAAGAATTTCCAACATTGGATAAAGTTCTTGTCTCAGTTCGAGATGATAAGGATTACCCAGAAATGAGTCTAAGTACGTTATGGAAACTTTTAAAAGAAATAGGCTTCCGCTGGAAAAAGAATCCCAGAAAGTCTATTTTATTAGAAAGAAGCGATATTGTCATATGGAGAAGACATTTTCTAAGAACCATAAAGGAAATGAGAAACCAAAAAAGAAAAATGATTATCTTGATGAAACATGGATCAACGAGGGTCATACACCAAATAAATTTTGGCAGGATGAAACTGTTACAAGTCAAAGGCACGCTTTTGTAAATAATTTATCTACTGGTTTAAACCCACCATCAGGAAAGGGACGAAGGCTGATAATAGTACACATTGGCAGTTCAGACGGTTTTGTTGAAGGTGGTTTATTAACTTTTGAATCAACTCGTACCGGTGATTACCATGAAGACATGAACGCTGATGTCTTTCAAGAATGGTTCGAACAAATGATAGATCTTCTTCCTAAGAACTGTGTAATAGTAATGGATAATGCAAGTTATCACTCCAGGCTTATAGAGGGACTGCCCACAACCAAGTAGTTAAAAAAAGATTTTCAGAATTGGCTGAGTTCAAAAAATATTACGTACCATCCCGGATCTACAAGAAAGGAACTTTATTCGTTGTGTGCCCTTCATAAAGAAAAATTTAAAAAATACGAAATTGATGAAATTGCCAAAAATCGTGGAATGACAGTACTTAGATCCCCACCATATCATTGTGAATTAAACATGATTGAACTGGTATGGGCACAGATAAAAAGTGAAGTTTCAAGAAAAAATACCACTTTTAAAATTCATGATGTTAAACAGTTGTTTTTGGAGGCCGTAAATAATGTAAAACCTGAAAACTGGGAAAAGGCAGTAAATCACACTATTAAAGAAGAGGAAAAAATGTGGAAGCTGGACAATATTACTGATAAAATGATCGAGCCAGTTATTATAAATCTTGGTTCTGAAAGTTCATCTTCTGAATCTGATTTGGATTTGTAACAAGTAGCTGTAAGTTTTATATTAATATTTTTATTCATCTATTTAACATACCTTAGACGGTTTTAAAAACTCTTTTTCTCTTATGTAATTTTTAAAAATTAAAAAAAATGTGAATTTTTTAAAACCCTTTTTAATGTAGGCCAGTCAGTTCTAATATAGTGTGTGATAAAAGAGGTCACTTTTGTTTACATACACATAACACTTTATAACACTGAAATAATTCATTTATTTTTTACAATTATTCAAAGTAATTTTTCAATTAATCTTGAGCACGCCCATGGAGTGGCCGGAGGTACCAGTTAAAATTATGCTAATTACTCTCTCGTTCATAAAAATAAACTATAATAGATGCTATTTTGGGCTTAATCTCCTTTTTAAATCTACAGTTATATCAAGAAATACAAAAGTAAAACTCAACAAAACAATAATACGCCCAGTCCTAACATATGGTTCAGAATCCTAGACTTTTACAAAAAGCAATGAAAACATGTTAGGATGTTTCGAAAGAAAAATACTGAGGCGAATCTATGGAGCGGTAAATGAAAATGGTGTCTGGAGAAGACGATACAACTTCGAACTCTATAGAATATAACCAGGAACCAGATATCGTAAAACACATTAAAATAGGACGTCTGAGGTGGGTAGGCCATGTAATGCGGATAGAGCAAACCGACCCAGCTAGAAAAACGCTCCTTGATAGACCTATTGGTCAAAGAAGAAGAGGAAGACCCAGAACAAGATTCCTAGATAACATAGACCAAGATATGAGAAATATGGAAATACGTGCTTGGCGGAGGAAGGCGATGGATAGGGACGATTGGAAGAGAATTCTTGGGGAGGCTAGGATCCATGCAGAGTTGTAAAGCCAAAATGATGATGATGATGATGTAGAATCAATGCCGATATCGTTAGTCTTTTTAGAGTCTACGATATGCTTATTATGATTAATCTTCAAAAAAAATTGTTGGAAAAAAATGTTTGTTTTAATCATCACAAATTGGTCTGTCAGGCTGAGATAACCTAATAGGCTAAATTTAATGATTAGTTAGTTTCTGACTGCATGAATTAATCCTAAAGCCAAGAAAACTGCATTAAGAAAAAATAAAAACGCGATTTATACAGAAATAAAGTAAAAATGTTTTCCAAGAAGTTCGAAATAACAGTAACGCAGTAGGAAAAAGACCTCTTTTTATAAATTGCAAAAATTGAGAATTAATAGCAGATTAAAGAAGTATTGTAAACACATAGAAGCGTTATTTTGAGAAAGTATAAAATGTAAAATTTGACAAGTCTGAATTGATGACTTGTCGAATTCTGCCAAAGCGAGGAGGTGGTAATAATGAATAAAAATTTTAAATTACCTAAAAGAAAACTTTATACTTGGAAATCACCTGCGGCTTCAGAAGATAACATTGTTCCAAACCAGATAGATTACATTTTAATAAAATCTAGATATAAAAACGCTATAAAGTCTCTGATAACATACCCCGGAGCTGACATAAATCCAGACCATAATCCATTAGTAGGTATAATGCAGACAAAATTGAAGAAGATCCAAAAACAAACAAATATACCACCGTTTGATGTCTCAAAGATAAAAGAAAAACCTATACGTCAGAGCTTAAAACAAGAAATAAATGATAACTTAAAGAGAATCAAACAAGACATGATAAAAACAACAGATGTTAATGACAAATGGAACATGGTACAGGAAACTTTAATAAAGGCAGGAGAAAAGCTACTGCAGACAAAAATAAGAAAAAACAAAGATGGATGACGTCAGAAATCTTAGATCTAATGGAAGAAAGAAGGAAACATAAAGGCAAGAGTAAGGCAAAATACAAGGAACTACAGAGATTGATAGGAAAGAAAATTAAAGAGGCCAAATCCTCCTGGCTTGCTAATCAATGCTGTGAAATATGGGCATACGTTAAACAGCATGATAGCTTTAACATGCATAAGAAAATAAAGGAAATGACAAATACACTGAGAAAAAAGAAAGATGCCCTTCTGAAAGACGCAAATGGAAAAATCATTATAGAAATTAAAGAGAAATTAAAAAAATGGAAGACATACATAACAGATCTGTTTGAGGATAATCGACAAGAACCGGAAGAAATCGACAGCGAAACAGGGCCAGAGATCAAAATAGAGGAAATCGAACAAGAAATACGAAACGCAAAAAACGGAAAAACTGTAGGTCCAGACGAAATACCTGCGGAACTACTGAAATGTCTAAACGATGAAACTCTACTTGTACTTTTGGACCTATTTAATGAAGTATATAAAACTGGAAAAATCCCACAGGAATGGTTGGCGTCCACCTTTGTAGCAATACCAAAAACAGTATATGCCAAAGATTGTTCAGACTATAGGACAATATCACTAATAAGCCATACCCTCAAAATATTTCTAAAGTTGATTCATGGAAGATTATATAGAAAACTAGAAGAGGCTATGGATGATACTCAGTTTAGGCTCCGCAAGGGACTGGGAACGAGAGAGGCATTGTTTGCTTTTAATGTCCTCTCTCAAAGATGCTTAGATATGAACCTAGATATTTATTCCTGTTTCATCGACTTTGAGAAGGCATTCGACAGGGTCCGACATGAAAAACTAATAGAAATACTGAGAAACAAAGATATAGACAGACGAGACTTACGAATCATTATCAATCTGTATTGGAATCAAAAGGCCAATATAAAGATAGAAGAACAAAAGTCCGAAAATATAGATATAAAGAGAGGAGTAAGACAGGGCTGTGTTCTGTCACCATTACTGTTTAACGTGTGCAGTGAGGCCATATTCCAGATAGCCGATCTGGATAATGGAATCTCGTAAACGGAAGAATAGTAAATAACATAAGATTCGCGGATGACACCGTTATAATGGCAGACACCCTGGAATCGCTACAAGAATTGGTAAATAGAATTAACGATTATTGCATTAGATACGGACTAAAAATAAATAAGAGAAAAACTAAATTTATGATTGTCTAAAACGCAACATGGAAATGAAAGGTTAATGATAGAGCAAACCCAAATAGAAAAAGTAGAGACTTACAAATATCTGGGAACCTGGGTTGATGACAAAAATGACCAAAGCAGAGAAATCAAAGTCCGAATTGAAACTGCAAGGCAAGAAAATTGTGAATTTGTGCATTTGTGAAAATGAAGACAATGCTTACCAACAGAGACCTTCAGTTGCATCTCAGATTGAGGTAAGTGATAAAAAAAATAGTTTGTCGACCGAAAAAAGGTAATTAGATGAACCAGAAAAGGACCTTAAAGAGAAATGTGTTCGAAATTAAAGAGCAAAAAACAAGGGGTCGTTACGAATGGCGAGCAGTTGCTTAGAATTTTTAATTTTAATTTTACTTACGGCTGCTAGTGGCTAAAGCTACACAGCTTAAAAGGAGCACAGTTTTCAAAATCATGTTGTAATTTGTTGCAATAACCAAGAGTTGATATAGAATAACCATCATATTATTCTACCATACATCTATATATATTATCTATTTTTAAGTTCTGAAATTTTTAGATTTTCAAGTATCTCAGATAATATCGATATCTTGTTGTAATAGTGATTGGTTCCATATCGCAACAAAATACGGGTAATTACATAAAGGCAAATATTGTGTACGAATATAGTGAACATTTTATGTCGTTTAATAGCATTGTGTTCATCAAATAACCCATCAACAAAGGCCTTTCTGCCAGACAAATGTCTTACAAGATATGGGGTCTAGAAATACAACAGTCGAGGAAAAAAGTCGAGGTTCAAAATTTGGCGTAAAAGTTATCCCTCCGAAATAATCTTGACGTGTGTTTGAGATTTCTTCGCAAATATTTTACTGATAGTTAGTTCCATATGCGTTTTAAATTCCCCAAATGTTAAATCTGAGATATAAAGATTTTTTGTAGTCTTCTCCATGGTTTGTGTGGCTCAACTTTTCCTTTTATTACTTTTTTTATATTGTTGACTTTTAATCAGTGTTTCTCAATCACTCCTTTCTACATTGCGTTCGACATTTAGTGGTTGTCATTACGACTTACTGTACTTATTTTAATATTCTTTCTAAAAAAAGTCGATATCATTTGTTATAGATTAAGTGGTACTTTTTAAGTTTAATATGATAAATTTTTTTCAATTAAATTTTATCGTGATAGTTTATCATTTTAAAATGTGTTTACCTACGTCTGTAAGATATACAAATCAATTCCTAGTATACTTCATTTCAATATTTTTACAGGTGACAGTAAAAAATAAGTTGGATTCAGAAAATATTGAAATATTTTTAAATATCGTAACAAATATGCTTTCTGTATGTTCATTCTTACTTTCTTTTAGCTGAGGTGTTTTTTACTTAAGGAATTCATCTAAAAACCGCGTAAAATCAGCGGCGGCTCGTGGCCTAAAAAAGTGGTGAAGACGAGGAAACCTTGCTGGAGCCAAAAGGAGTTTTGGTACCTGCGTCGCGCCCAAATCTCATTAAAAATTCGTTAAAAAATGTAGAGTTTAGGGCTCTAATAACTTAAAATCAGTTTTTTAGGGCACTTATACTAGATGCTAGATAGGGCGATTGTCAGAATTAAACAAAACAAATTATAGCCTTCTGCAACAATGTCTTTAATTGGCTGTAACGTTATAACCAATTCTTGCAAATTCATATTTTTGTAATTTTCGTCGGCATAAATAAGGCAGAGCTAACTTATAAGTTTTTGATGTTTAATAAACTGTGTGCCATAAAACTCAAATCAATTTTGAAAAGCGTCGGAAGGGAAGGTCAAACTGTATGACTCAGATTTTGTTGTATCTGCTAAGCTTACGAATTTTAATTTATCACAATCCTGAAAACGTACATCCATTTCCATTAAAATATGATCATATATTTCAAAAAATAATGCTCTGTATTGAACAGTAACACAGGCCAACGATGAAAAAACTTTTTTGATAAAATTACCTGTATCTTATGTATTTTGGTGTGCTCAGTTCGAAAATCATATTAAACATGCTGTATCACCCACCATTCTTTCACAATTTAACATTTAAAATTGCATAATTACCTTTGAGGCCAAGATTACTACTAAGGAAAAAGAAGCTTGGATTGGATTCCAAAAAGTTGTAACCAAGTTTTTTGGTAATATGAAAGACCTAAGTACGAGCTTATAGCACCTAATTTATTAGATAAGTTTTTTAAGATTTTAGATAAGATTTAAGATTTGGAATGTCGAATGAACCTCAAAATCCAACTTTTGCATAACCATCTTGATCATTTCCTTGAGAATCTGGCTGCAGTCAGTGAATAATGAGGCGAACGCTTCTACCAGGATATCAAGGTGATGGAGCAACCATACGAGGGATGTTGGAACACCAAAATGATGGGTGATTACTGTTGGTCACATCATCGGGAACAACAGAGTGCCTCGCATAGGAGAGAAAGCTACTTGAGAAGTTTTACAGAAAAAAAAAAGAATATGAAAATACAAAAGCATTGACTCCTGAAATGCTTCTACAGACCTATACTGTGAAAAGATAAACATTAGATAAAAGGCATTTTTCTAATAATGTATCATTTTAATGTATTCCGGTATTTTGTGTAATTCAAATTATTATATTGTAGAATAAGCCAGCGCCATATTGTGGGAAAACTGTGGGTGATACATAAAATCTAATTTCAGATTCTTTTTTAGCGCCAAAAACATACACAGGATTCACATAAATTTGTAAGAAAAGTTTTTTAAATCTTCTTTTTCGTTGGCCTGTGTAATTGCATTCTTGCTCATACCATCATCACACCTAAACTGTTTAGAAGTATTAGGTAATGACAGTCATTGTGTTTTCTTTTACAAAAATAGAAAGAAAAAATTGTTCATTTCTGTTATCACTTATTAATTGACGAGTTTTCCTTATCTGGTTTAAACAAAAATTAATATCTAGGGACTTTTTTTGAAGAACATCATATAAAATGTCTGTTATATGAAAAATTTCGCTACAAAATGTTGCTAAAAATGTGAACTCAAAATCATTTAAATCTCTTAAAAGCCCTTTAGCCAGCTGAACTGATTTGCGGTCTGACTCTTCAGAATTCATTATACTATCATAAACCTCTTTTAATTCCCAGTCTTCAATAATTACACTGATTAATTTTAAATTAGACCACCATCTTGTCTCTGTAATTGTTGGCATACGTCTAGCCGATGAGATGCAAGAGCGTACGATCGTTTTGCTAAACTATGAAAAAACGATGGGATTCTGGTAATAGTTGCAAAAAAAATTCGGCATTTTGATATTTTCTTAAAGCTTTGTTGCAAAACAAGATTAAGTCGATGGGCTAGACAATGCACAAAAATTGCTTGTGGGGCATGTGATTTAATTTTTTGCTCAAGTCCATTTAAGTACCCTGACATCACACTGGCTCCATCGTAACACTGTCCTACAAGCTTATGTCGGTATTCCAAAGGTTCTACAACTGTCACAGCCATAGTGAACAAATGCTCAGCTGTTCTACCGGAACTTACAGTGTAAAATCCCATAAACCTTTCAATTAATAGTCCTTGAGAATTTACTTATCTTAATATTAAGACTGCGACATCTGCGTTATGTCAGTAGTATCATCAATTTGGAGGGAAAAAATGGACTGTTTTTAATTTCAGTTATAATATTATGATTTATGTAACCAGAAATGCACTCAATTAATTCATTTTGAATTGTTTTTGATTCTCCACTAAAACCATTTTTAATTTTTTGTAATGATTTTTAGTTTCCAAAGGGCTTTGAACAATTAACAGATTTAGTAACTCCTTAAAACTACCCCTATCATCTCCCCTAAAAGACAACTCTCGTTTGCTGAGGTACAAAACTGCGTCAATAACTGTCCACAAACAAATCCTGTTTAGTCGAACATTTTCATTAAAATTTAGTTTATGTAATATAGCGTTTTCTTTTAAGGTCTCGGCAATCGTATTTTGATTTTGTTCGAAATTTTTAAACATTAATTGGTTTTTTAAATGCTCTCCAGAATCTGTGTTCTTATGCAACGATCTATTAATATTAAAAAAATCAAAAAACCGTCTCTTTTCCACACATACCGTTTATTTGAAAAGAGGAGACATGGCCAATAATAAATTTTTCTAATGCTGTGCTACTACACAACCAATTGCATTCTGTGAACCAAGAAGGCTTAAATTAATGTTATACGACTTGCCCGTTTTTTTAACTTCCTTTTTTAGTCCTATGTTTAAAATATTGGTTGGTCGACCATGTAAAAGAACATCTCTTTTATCTTCATTTTTCAAATGCCTAAACGGAGTCTCTAATATATTACACACCAAGTCATTAATTGGATTCATGTCTGTCTAAAATTATTTTTATCCAAACGAAATCCACGAGAACATTTTATATACAAAATCCGAAACAAACCACAGAAAAATGTATTAATAAAGTGCACTAACCAAATAAACTTAATACTGTGACTAAACTAAATTAATAAATAGTTACCAGCTGAAGTCCGTTTGAAGAGGTATACCCTCCGGACTCTGGTACTCACGTAAGGCATGGTTTTATGTTGCCTGAAGTAAAATCTAATAAAATATTAAACACCATCCATTTTTAACAACAATATGCACATTCTTTGGTAACTTTAATTACTGTAAAGGGTTTTACCCTAATATTTTGGTGGCTCAAGCATGTTAACCTTGTTTTAACCTGATGATGGAAGCGTCTTAATAATTAGTCATATTTGTATAGTAGTTTTAATATTATTAAATTAATATAGCTCATAGCTTATCTATAGATTCTAACACATATGTTACAAGATTAATAACTTTTTATATTTTATGCAATTGAAAGTAAAATTTTTTTGGTAATAACATATTCTTTTTTACTTTTGTTGCTACAATCTGATCGAAAATGTTCAGTAAGTAGTTTAGTCTAATCATTAGTGAGTAATTACTACTTAGGTTTCATTCAATTATGTTTATATAGAACAAAATAATAAATATATATCAAAATGACAAGAATAAATCTGGAAGAAAGTCTGGACGACTAAATCTGGATGAATATTATAGAATAATACATAGAGTAGGTAGAGACAAAACTCGATGATTAGTTGTCTCTGCCTTATTTACGATTCAAATTTTTCTCATCCACAATGAAAATAAAAAGGTTGAAAGGATTTTTGAAGTGGATGCTTCACATTATATAAACAGCTTCTTTCTCGATATAAATCAATCATGTAGAAACTTGTTTCCGGCTCCAAGATATTTTAACTTTTAATTTTCATTTTATAACAAAGTAGAAAGACAAATAAACCACACACTGTCATCCAAAAAAAAAAGAAAAATAAATTTTATCACGTTATGTCTAACTCCTGATTGCCATTTGTCTTTAGATATTTTTCCACGAATCAAAATTAAAGTTTGTTTAAACTAACCTTGAAGAATAGAAGGTTGTCTATTTTTAGAGGAATTAATCCTTCGGGATATGACATCATATGCTGTTAGTTTTTTGGTTTCGACAAACTAATTTGATCAAATATTTGACCGTGTGACACGGACTTTAAAGAAAAAGTCAAACAGTAGTCAGATATTTGTATTTATTATATTTATTGAGTGAACTCTATAAGATTAACTCGGTGGTGGTGTTGTTGTTGCTAGTGTAGTTGATCTACTTCCACAATCCACTAAACTAGGAATTTCACAAAGACTGTTTTTCTCATTAAAGTATGTTCCAGGAGCACATTTCAACTCAATTGGATCTCCGTGATCACATTCGTAAAATACTGCACAGTCCACTGTATCTGGGAGATATACGGGATTTTCACTTGTAGTATCTGGGCATTTTCCCTCAGCTGCAAAAGTGTAAAATTGTTATATAAAGTATACAAAACATTGACAATTTTTAGTTATACCTCATTATACAAGATATTATAGAATATACCAAAAAAAGTTGTTTACAAGAATAGGAGGTAGCTATAACTTTATATTTTAAAATGTGTTACAAATATATAGGATCTTCCATAAAACTGTACCACCTCAAAGATATGTTTTTTTTTAAATGAAGGTTGCTATGAAGGTGTGTTTCACAAATTGACAATTCAGTTTTAAATCAAATTGTTTTGACACTGTCTTGAATTTAAATTATTTTACAACAGTCAACACTGAACTTTAAAGGGTAGAACTGTGTCAGTTCTTCCAAGGGATGAATATTAGATGAATGTAATATTAACTCTTCAAGTTCTAAAATTAAAAATAGCCATTATGATTGCCAACCTCCGTAGGGAGACGGCACTCTAAGAAGAAGGATATTAACTCTTTACTAGCACCAATATTTTATCATGAACAATATCCAGATCATCGGCAATCGAATAAGAGTGCATTTAAAAACGTAATGGATATATTCAATTGCAATGGTTATAAATAAACGAGTACAGTCAACAGTACGGACTAAACATTAATACCCACAAAACGAAACAAATGATTATCATCAAGGAGAATATAAACGGGGCTCATCTATACATTAATGGGACGCAGATAGAGCGAGTAAAACAGTATTGCTACCTGGAAACTATTATAAACGAACAGTGGAGCAATGTACAGGAAATAAAGTGCCGCATAGGAAAGGCAAGAACTGTCTTTAACAAAATGAGCGCCATCTTCAAAAGTCACAACATATCCCTAGATACAAAAATGAGACATTTGAGATGCTATGTTTTCTCTGTGTTGTTGTACGCGGCGGAGGCATGGACGCTTACAGACACCACTATTAAAAATTTTGAAGCATTTGAGATGTGGCTTTATAGAAGAATGCTGAGAATATCATGGACAGCAAGGATCACGAACAAGGAAGTTCTAGGAAAAATGAAGAAGGAACCAGAGATTGTGTTTACGATCAAACGCATAAAATTGCAATATCTGGGACACGTTATGAGAAATCAGCACCGTTACTCCCTGCTACAGTCCATATTGCAAGGTAAAGTCAAAGGTAAGCGAGGACCCGGTAGAAGGAGAATATCATGGCTGCGGAATTTAAGAACATGGTTTAAGAAAACCTCAACGGAGCTGTTTCGAGCCGCAGCGAGCAAGGTTATGATTGCCAATATGATTTCCAACATCCGAAACGGATAGGAACCAGAAGAAGAAGAAGAAGGCATTGCGACTGTGTATACCTTAGACAAGGAGCTTTCCGTGTCTAATGTATATACTGTATACTGCTGTCAAGCGAACTGCTTTCAAAAGAAAATTCACCTTCTCAAATCCATAGGCGTTCATTTGTAGACACACAAACTACTAGCGTTTGCTTGTATGCGCACGTAGACTAGAAAAAGAAACAGAGAAGCTGTTTTATATAATTTAAATATGTACGTTGGAGGGATACAAGACTATGTCCATTTGTTTCAATTTTGACATTTTTTTTCACTAATAATAACATTATTCACTTTATTTAAAGGAATACAGCACTAGGTCCTAAACGAGTTGCTAATTAAGAGTGACCTTTAAAGGAATACCAAGTCTATTTTCACTTAGAATGATAAAACACCATGTGGACTTAATGTTTTATTCTTCTACGCATGTGAATTACCTCATCACATAGTGTTGTATATCTCTATGATGACAGATAGACTGTTAGTGATCTAATAATAGTACTTTTGCCATTTATGGCGTGTTCACAGTTTTTTGTTACTAATAATAAGAATTTGTCCACAAATTCAAATTTGTGGACAACGCTTGAACCATCTAAGGTACGCTGATGATGTCGTATTGATAACTGATAAAAAAGAAGAATTATTTGAAATGATGAAAGAACTGGACGTAGAAGCTGGAAAGATAGGCCTTAATATGAATTACAGTAAGACCAAAACTATAACAAATACAGATTAAGACATCACAATGAGAATCGGACAAGATAAAATAGAACAAGTTCAGGATTATATATCTATATCTTGGTCAAACTATAAAACTTAACAAAGAGAACAAAACATGTGCGGCATTTGGCAAACTAAGCTACATTCTTAAAAACAAAAGATATCCACAGCATCGTAAGACCAAAGTATACACTCAATGCGTACTCCCTGTTCTTACTTATGGTTCCCAAACGTGGACATTTACAAAAGCAAACATGAACAAAATCATAAAAACCCAAAGAGCAATGGAAAGACAAATGTTGCACATAAGACTAATGGATAAAAAAGAAACGAGTGGATAAGAGAGAAAACAAAAGTGGGGGATGTTAGACAAGTAATGACCATGACAATATAAACTGACCAAGTAATAATTAACCGACTAAGAATTGGACACACTTCACTGACCCATAAATTCTTAATCAACAAAGAATCTTCTCCAACCTGCAGAAACTGTTCTCTCCCATTGACGGTGAAGCATATTCTGATTGACTGCCAGTACCACGAAGAAACAAGAAGAAAATATGAAATCCCAGATGACATCAAAATCACTTTAACCATAAACACTGACCATGTAATAAATTATTTAAAAGATTTACGTTTATATACATTTATTATTAATGTAAATAGAATGAATTCTTGTGTATGTTACACCACTAATAACCCTGCGTGGTTGATGTGGATTATATGTTAAAATAAGATACAAAAAAGGATTCGAAATGTCTAAGAAAAACGAACTACCAAAGTAATATCTGGTAAATATCTGTAACGAAATTAATAAAAACGAAATTATGTACAACAGAATGGAAATTCAAATTAATGAAACTCACATTATATTAGAAAATATCACGAAACGATACAAATATTTTAATTAATATACAAATCATAAAACAGCTATTTCTATTTTCCATTTTTACCTAGTTTATATATTTTAAAGACAGGTTCGTTATCGACTAATCACAAAAAGCACCAATTTTAGACGTCCAACCTTAAAAATATTCTTTGAACCAAATACTTGCAATGACTCATATTTGGATTTAATTATTTGACAACAAAACCTATAGAAAGCATTATTGACGATATCAGGAAGTAATTGGTCAAGTAAATAACCAATTACCTGCTGTAAATTGACTCATTTAAATGAAATAGGTGGATCATTGAATGAATCATTGTCACTCAGAAGTTTCTACTAAAGGATCACACCCACATGGAGGCGGACACTGTCCAATCGATGATGGAGCGAAAGAGAAAGAAACTTAACAAAATTTCTATTTTAACGCCCTAGGATTGGCAGCAGTTAGTCAGACATATCTCAATGAACATAATACATAATATTGAACTAGGAGATTTTAAAAAAATAAGGTATTTGTATGATGCCAAAACATCTCAAAATCTCCTTTTGATTAATAGAAAAGGAGACATTAACAAACAGTAAGTTCTTCTGTTAAACTGTGTGTAACTGCAAGTAAAACAAAACAGCATGGGAACTCTTTTCTTGAAAAGTAATTTTCATGATGAAAACCAGTAGATTGTCCTTGTTAGGTTTCGAACACGATACCATACATTGCCAAAAGATTTGCAACTGGTATCATAAAGTCTCATATCCATATCCATATAACAAAAGTATAATGATCTATCGGTATTACTGTCATCTGTTCTTAAATGTTGTCATGATTTTTATAAAAACTTAAAGCATACTAATAATACTAATAGTGACTATCCAGAAGAAGACTTACTTGAGGATGATCAAGTCGTTTGTACGTAAAATACCATTTTGGTTAAATACATATATGTATTATTTGTATTTGTAAAGATGAATTTATCGTTAAATAAATTTTGTATGTCATATAGTATTGTAATTGTTATTAAAAACCTCAAACTAAGTCTTACACTACAATAACTTTATTAGAGGGATACTAAAATGGATGGCTATTAAAATGGTTAAAAAACACAGAAAGAAATTTGTTTTTTAATTATAACAAATGTATTATGTAAATAACAATAGGTAAAACGTTCAATTAAAACATCGTTTCAATATCTCAATAAATAGCTGCCGCAATAACACTTTTTGGTGAAAAAAGTTCGGAGTAAAACTGCTCTCTTGTAAAGTTATGAAAATGGACATAGTATTGTTTCTTTCCGAGGTACAGAAATATAATTCTGTGCCGAATTTTGAGGATGAAGTTCTAAATATTATTTAATTGATATAATTGGAATGATACATACAAAATATTTTTAGAATTTTAGAATTTATAGAATATTTTGAAAATTGTTTTTTAATATTTTGTTTTACTTACGTTCGCTAATGGCTAAAGCAACACAGCTTAACAGGAGCACAATTTTCAACATCATTTTGTATCTTGTTACTGTAATCAGTAGCTTGTCTAGAATGCTCATCGTATTATTGGTCTGCTTTATATATGCTTTTCCTATCAAGTACATACATTATCGACTTTCGAGTTTTGAAATCTTTAGATTGTCAAATAGTTCTAATGAGATTAATAACTTCCTGTGATAACTGCATATTACGAAAACATAAATTAATGGCATAAACTGGTAATTTATCAAAACAACACAAACCTATTAATCCTCTTCTTATTCTTCGGCTTTTTTCTATTACGAGTTCGCTGTTTTCGTCTTCCACTCCACACTATTCTCCCAGTCACTTTCTTATAATGAGGCAGGTGCAAGAAAAATCATTAGAATACAACAAACCGGCATATCTATGTTTCGTGGACTTTACAAAGGCATTTGACCGGGTCAAATTAAAGGACATTATCCACTTACTGTAAGCAAGAGAGATACTTCTAGGAATAATCAAAACGATCGAAAATATCTACCAAAACAACACAATAAAAGTAAAAGTAGAAGAAGAACTAACCGACCCTATTGAAACTGGCAATGGGATAAGTTAGGGAGATTCCCTGAGTCCTCTGTTGTTCAACCTGATTATTAATGAAATAATAAAAAAGTAACAATTAAAATAGGAGAAATACCAAATACCAAATGGGAGAAAAACAACTTGAAATAATTTGCTATGCAGACGATGCAATACTACTCTCTCAAAGTGAAGATGTATATGTAAGATAAATATGTAAAAACGTATGCTGCACCAATTTAATATAACCGTTAGAAAATTTAACATGTTAATTTCCAAAACAAAGAAAAAATGCGTGGTTACAACACCGAATTTACTAAGATGTAAATTAGAGCTGGAAGGTCAGGTAATAGAACAAGTGATGAAGTTTAAATATCTAGGCATCACATTATCTTGCTACGAAAAGCTCGCAACTGAAGTGGAAGAACAAGTAATTAGGGTAAACAGAGCGGAATGCTGCCTAAATGAAACAATATGGAGATATAAAAATATCGGGAAAGAAACGAAAGGCACAAAACAGTCATCAGACCAATAATGACATACGCGGCAGAAACAAGACCTGATACAGAGAGGACAAAAAGGATGTTAAAAACAGCAGAGATAAAAGCACTTAGAGAAAAATTGATAGTAAGACACTATGAGACAGAGCTAGAAGTACAGATATACCACATATATGCAAGGCGAATAACATAAAAAACTGGGTAAGAAATAGGAGAGTAAATTGGAACGATCATATAAGCAGAATGACAACAACTAGAGTCGTAAAGACGGCAAGAGACGGTTCCCCAATAGGAAGACGATCAGTAGGAAGACCACGAAAACGATGGAATGACAACTTACTGGAGGCACATTGAAAAACAGTTAGAGTCATGTCCATACAAAAAGCAGAAGAAGAAGAAGAAGAAAATTTCTGGGGGTAGAACTGGCCTACCTGTGTTTCTCTGCCACACTAACAAAAGCACTACCTTTATGGTGAGTAAAGATGACCAGGGACAAACAAAACGAGCATGGTAACAACGATTCTTCCAAACCTTACTTAAAACTTTAAATTGTAACTATTAACACGGCTATACATTTTCCCATGAAAAAAAGGACGAAAAACAAAGATATTACAAATTTAAAGAAAAATTTGGACTAAACCCTGGAAGCAATAATTGTCTCTGACAACGCCTCAGCGAGAGTGTCGCAATTATCTTTCCGGCATCCGGCGAAACCTTCTCAGAGATCCAAATGGAGGTTTATTTAAAACGCATATCATACGGTCCATATGTATGGAATAAATTCATTTTTAGCGTTATTAAGTACTATGTGAAAGAAACCTGAAACAGGTCGATTTTTATTCTTAAATTGACAATTTACAGTATGAAAATAATATCACCCTCCAGCAACCTCTTTGAATTATAAGCACCCCCTCGAAAATTTTAAATAGCAAAGGGGGTCGTGCAAGTTTTTTAAGTTTGGTGCAATATTAACCTAAAAAATTGATTTTTTAAATGTAAAACTTTGATAATGTCTTTACCACAAAACTTTAGGTTGAATGAAGATAATAATGTCACATAATATTTAGAATGTATTTTTCAATGTTCTTTACAATTAAATTAAATGTTCCAAATGACCACTATTCACTTTTTGACAAAACCCGAGGCGATTTTGGAATTCTCGTACAACATTTTGTACGACTCCGGGAGCTATTTTGTTAATTTCTTTCGTTATCCCAACTTTTCAATCAGCAATATTGTTTTGTCTAGTAAATTATACTTTTGATTTTAAATATCCCCATAAGAAGTAATCGAGAGGAGTCAAATCGGGGGATCTAGCCGGACATTCGATTGTTCAACGTCTTCCAGTCCACCTATTGGGAATAACCTCGTTTAAATAATTTCTAATTATAAGTGCAAACTGCAGTAGAGCTCCACCTTGTTGGTAGTAAAAAGGTCCATCTATCTAATTTGGATGATTAACATTAGGAAAAAATCTTCGTAATGTAGGCACTAAAAAGTTAATCAAAAAATCTAAATTAACCTCATCATCAACTGCGCCCTCAAAAAAATAAGGACCAATAATTTTACTATTAATAATACCATCCCAATCGTTAATTTTTTTAGGATATTGCGTGTGAGTCTCACACACTCAGTGAGGATTTTCTCTGCTCCAATATCTACAGTTCTGTTTGTTAACCGTTCCGTTTAAATGAAACGTCGCTTAATCAGAAAAAAACTATTCTGTTTATGAACTGCAAATCTGCGTTCATCATTATTTCACAGAGTTCTTGCCTTATATCTTCATTTAACTCCTGAACCAACTGAACTCTGTAAGGGTGGTATTTTTCTTTATGTAAAATTCTCAAAATAGTGAATTTACTTACATCATTGATGGCGGCAAGTTTTAGAGTTGTCTTATGCGGATTTTCCATAATCTCTAGAAGTACATCTAACTTTTTTTCATCAATAAATTTATTATTTCTACCTGGTTTTTCAATATTTTTTACATGTCCAGTATAACGAAAGTTCTTTGCAATTGTGCTAACTGTAGACTACGAAACTTGTTGACCAGGGTATTCATTATTAACATTTCACAAACCTCCTTTTGAGCTCTTGTTTTATTACCACAAACCAATCATAGTTAAAATGTCTATTCTTTTAGTCTCGGACAAATGAGCCATAATTAAATTTAATACGCGCACAAATATTATACTCACGTCTTCTAGTAACCTTAAATACCAAAATGACAGCAGCCTACTAGATTCATATCAATTGTTTATTGGGCTTTTTGACTAATATTTTATTATCTTCAAAGTTTTTTCCCTACTGTTTAGCAGAACAAATACGAAAATACCTGATTCTTTCTAAAGTATAATATAATAGACCAGGCAATATTGCTGATATAAAAGTTGGATAACGAAAGAAATTAATAAAATAAGCCCCGAGGTCATACAAAATGTTGTATGAGAATTCCAAAATCGCCTCGGTTATTGTCAAGAAGTGAATTATAGTGGTCAAGTTGAACATTTAATTTAATATTGTAAAAATTAATTTTTTAAGGTATAATTGCACAAACTCAAAAAACTTTACATTGCTGAACAGAGGACTAAAATCCCTTTCTAACAAGGTGCTACACGACCCCCTTTGCTATTTAAAATTTTCGAGGGGATGCTTATAATTCAAAGAGATATTATTTTCATACTGTAAATTGTCAATTTAAGAATAAAAATCGACCTGTTTCAGGTTTTTTTCACATAGTACATAATAACGCTAAAAATAAATTTATTCCATACATATGGACCAAATGTTATATCGAGCGGCTTAAATCAAAGAAAAATATCAAATAATTTGCGTCCATGATATAAACAAACTTTAAAATGGTTTATTATCGACTCGGGAAGCAATCAATATCCACACAAAGAGGATTGAAAATACGTTTTGATATTTTAGCACATACAAGGGGATTTTAATATATAACAAGGAATTTACAAATGCTACAAAGATAGGTGGCCCAACTGAGTTTGTTTTTCAACCGATAAAGCCGCAATGTTATATTATTCCGGTAGCGAGGACCACCAATACAGACACTTCGTGGCAGTAATAGTCAATTGTTGTTCTGGTATAATTATCAACCTTTTTCCCATTATTTTTGTAGCAAATGTTCCATGGCTTATAAGTCTCTGGAATTTTCGATTTGTAGGATTCTTTTGGAAGCACGGAAATTAACTGTGTAAACTAGGAATTAAGTTAAAATAATATTAGAATATTATAATATTATAATATTATTCGATATCGACTATAATTAGAATATAATATTAGAATATAAATAGAGAAACACGTAAAAACATAAGAAATACATGTGGAGTAGAGGATATTAAACGGTTTTGTGTTAAACACGAAAAAGGAGTGACATGAACATATTAAAATTAATGAAAGAAAAAAGGAAGAATGCTAAGAGGGATAAGAGGACAAAGAAGTATAGGCCGACACCGTTAACGGTGGAGCGACAGTATAAACATTAATGCAGATGGTTGAAGTTTAAACAGGCGATTCGCTTAGAATATAAAAGGAAGACAAAGATAGTTAGAAACCAAAAAATTAATGGCCTTCTTTAAGTGATTTTTTAACGGAAGGTAAATGACAAAAGCAAATTAGGAGGAAGACCTATTTCCTGGCCGCAAAGTTTATGGCTAGGACTACCACTAAGCTCTTTCGCGCTACAGCAAACAAAGTAAAGATAGTCAGGTTGATCGCCACCACCCTGAATGGATAGGTACCATAAGAAGAGGAGTACCAATCCTTTTCATCTACTTCAGGAATGAAAATAACTCTAGCCCCTCTCCACATTTCTAATGTACAGTTGCGGTCACGGAATAGTTTACAGGTTCACGTATCTAGGAGCCCATTTTTTAAATTTTTACTTCGTTTAAACGCACCTTTTACGTCAAAGTGACGTTGCCAGTGGTGTACTAGCTAGAATAGGTAGATTAAAATTAAAATATCAAAATATTTTACAAAATGAAAAATATAGAAAACAG